AAGAGACAGCTTTTCCTGAAATTGGCTATTTGGGCCAATGACTCATACAGGTCCGAGGGGTATCAGGGTTCGGTCTTCCCTCAACAGCTTCTCGGGGCTGCATGATTGTGATGCTTGGGACTTGGCTGCCAGAGACTCAGAAGGAATCCCAAGGACCAAAGAACAAAGGGGCAGGTGGAGATGTCTCGTCAATGCAGCAGGAATTGGAGCAGCGGTTCTCAACCTGTGGGTCATAACTCGTGGGCGTCAAATGACCCTTTCACAGGGGTCACCTAAGACTATTAGAAAACACAGATATTTACATTACAATTCATAACAGTGGTGAAGTTATAATTATAAAGTAGCAATGGAAATGATTTAATGGTTGAGTATAGTCAGATATTCTTTGGACGGCCAGCTCCCAAATAAAGACACGAGACTTTTTAGTAATTATGAAAGCTTGGCCTTAGCTTAGGCTTGTTCCCAACTAGCTCTTAAAGCTTAAATTAACCTGTTTATATTAATCTATATTCTATCATGTGGCTCATTACCTCTCCTCGGTACCTTAGGTCCAACTTCCTCTGTGTCTGGATGGCAAATCTCCCAACTCTCAGATTCTTCCCCTGAGTTCCCCTCTCTCCCCAGAAGTCCCACCTGTCCTCTCCTGCCTAGCTACTGGCCATTCAGCTCTTTGTTAAACCAATCAGAAGGTGCCCCAGGCAGGTGAGGTAAAACAGAGACACCTTCACACAGTGTGATCAAATATCCTGCAACAGTTTTGGGGGGAGACCACAATATGAGGAACTGTATTAAAGGGTTGTAGCATTATATTACGAGAGCAAGGATACTTTTGTTCCTAGAGTGTTCCCCTACATGTTGTTCTTTCTAGATGTATTTGTATATTTGCTGCCTTTTAGAGATTTTTTTTTATTTTTATTTCATCTGTACATGTGAGTGCCTGTATGTGTGTATGTATGTGCACCACGTGCATGCCTGATGGACATCAGAACTGGAGTTATGGGCAGTTATTAGCTGTCATGTGGGTGCTGGGAACCAAACCCAGGAGCTCTGTAAAAGCAGCCAGTGCTCTCAACTGAGCAGCGGTCTCTGCAGTCTCTGCTACTCGCTTTGGCTTGGAATAATGCTAATGATCTCATTATTTTGTTAACCTGCTGCTGTTTGTCTTCAGTTCAGTGTGCTATTCCACTCTGATAACAAAGTCCCCTCAAATGCACTTCAAGAGACTCTGTTTAAGAGCTAGTAGCTCACAAGAATAAAACATTTTGGAAAAAAAATCTATACATCTTCTTTAAAGTACATATGTGAGCCAGATATGGTGGCTCACACCTGCAATGAGAAGGCTGAGGTAGGAGGGCCATCATGAGTTGAAGACCTGGCTGGGGCCAGACATGAAGACCTGTCTAGGCTACATAGGAAGCTCCAGGCCAGCTTGGGCAACAAAATGAGACTCCACCTCAAACAAATAAAATATATGTTTATAGGTTTCAGGGTATGTAAGTTGAGGCAATGAAGGCATGACTTGGAAGTTGATATATAATCTTAATCATTTGATTCTAATTACATTTTATAATATGTCTGAGAGATTCAAAGACAGGAGATGGGGAAAGATTTACATTAAAGAAAAATATCACTATTTTGTAGAAAGTACTATATGAGGGAGGGGCGTATACATATACAAACAGCAAAATCTATACTTAGTACCAGGGAGGGAAATAATAAGGGATACTTCTCAGGTTTCTCACAATCAACAAGGGAAAAAGCCACACACCATAAAACATAATACAGTATTAAATGTTAATAAAGTATGATGGGAACACAAATCAGGGGTATTTAGTTAATTATGTCCGAGGTCTCCAGAGTTGACTTTGTTGAGTCTCGTAGGCTCATCAGCATTCCACCAAGCAAAGGTTGAAAGACAAAATGTCACAAAGAGTAAAGTACACAGAGTGATCAGTTAGACAGATGTATACAGCAGAAAGCCCTTCTTCCTGCCCACAGCAAGGGACAAGGACAGTAGTCCTGGCTGGGGCCAGACATGAAGATCCTTGAATGCCTTTTCAAGGTTTCATTGTATTCCCAAAGCAGCTGGACACGATGAAGAGATTTGAGGAGGAAGAATGAACAATGACATAATAATAATGAATATGAATAATGAATAAGAGCCAAGTGGAAAACCTAGTTAGGAAACTCCTGGGTGTTGATGCTTGTGGTTTTGGTTCCAGGATCATTATAATGGGAGGGGAAATGGGGAGATGGCAGGAGACATTTTGGAAGTGGAAATTCTGTGCTTAGTGATCAATCGGTTATAAGGAAGTAGCAGAAAGACAAGGCAAGGATGCTCGGAGACTTGGGTTTGAGAGTTGGATAAATGGAAATGCCCGTTGTTAACACTGAGAAAATACTCTTGGCAAAGACGTGCTTAGGGAGAAATCAGACAAAGCAGAGATGCTCATGGGGAGATTTAAAGGAGGACTGTTGCTGGAGGGCTTCTCTCCAGGTTCCACCAAGCCCTGCAGTCCCACAATCCACGTATAAAATAATCACTCAGACTTATAAACTGTAGGGCCGTGGCAGGCTTCTTGCTAACTCTTCTTTTATCTTAAATTAACCCATTTTTATAAATCTATACCTTGCCACGTGGCTGGTGGCTTACTGGCGTCTTTACATGTTGCTTGTCCTGGAGGTGGCTGCAGTGTCTCTCCCTCCTTCTTCCTGTTTCCCCAATTCTCCTCTCTCCTTGTCCCGCCTATACTTCCTGTCTGGTCACTGGTCATCAGTGTTTTATTTATATAGAGCGATATCCACAGCAGAGGACCCTAAAGCGCAGAAAAGAGGCCAGACCTAGAGTCCCGCTTCCAAGACCCACAAAGCCGCAGAAGAGAAGGTCAGCATCAGTAGCAAGCACAGAGTGAAAGAAAAGGTCCCAGCGATCCCCCCACCCCACCCCAAGAACACAGCATCAACTGAAAAGGAGAAAAGAGGGAACCAGGGAGAATCTAATCAGAGGGAGTCAAAAGGATGGGAGAAACCCAGCTGAGGTGTAGCTCAAAAAAAGGAAGGCTGCGAAAACTAGGGGAAGTCAGAGATGGCTGCGTGTCCCATGTCGGGGCTGCTACCAATTATGGGAGCTCTAGAAAATTTAGGACAGTGATGCCTAGAGGGTGAAGAAAGCAAGCTGAACTTGCAGGAAACAAAGAGGTGAGGCAGGGGATAGAGACTGCAGTTCCACAACCAAAGATGGATGATCCACAAGGCAGCAAACTGAGATCCACTTTGACTTAACTGCCAAAGATTAAGGTGTCATAGAGAATATATCATAAATCTTCATGTTTCTGACTTGTTGTCAAGAGGTTTTCCATGTGACTTCAGCTCCTAAGGTGGTGCAGCTTGCTTTTTGTCCCTCCTGTATGTAAATAGTTATGTAAGATGCTCCTACCTGTGATGTCCAATTCATTTCCTGACCATGGCCTATAAAACCAGTGAAGTATGCTGTGAAAGGATATGATCATATAGTACAATAGGAGGTTGGGACCAGTGGAAGATGCTAACTATGAAAGGATACAGTAACATAGTACTGTGGTGATATTGTATTTGTACTGAAATGTGCTGATATTTTATTTGTATGTTAATAAAGTTTGCCTGGATATCAGAGAACATAGCCAGCCATAAACAAAAGTCAGGTGGTGGTAGCACACACCCTTAATCCAATCACATGGCAGGCAGAGTCTCTATGCATTCAAGGACACAGCCAAGCATGATGACTCATGCCTTTAATTCCAGTACCAACCATAGAGACCTAGAGATCTGTATAGACAAGCAATGACGAGGAAGTGAGGTAGCTGGGCTAAGAGTCAATGAGAAGGCAGAACAGCAAGGCAATAAATGTGCAGGTTAGACAGGAAGAGGTTCGGTTCCCTTGGGAAGCTACGGCGGTGTGGTGAGCTAAGGTTAGCTGATGGCTATTCCTATTTCTCTGATCTCTATGGCTTTCACCCCTGTATTTGGCTCTGTGTTTCTTATTTAATAAGACTGTCTAGAAATTCGTCTACATAGTACAATGGGAGGGTGGGATTTGGGTGAGGGGAGTATGAATGAACACCTACTTGGGGATGTCAGAGAAGAGCACTGGACAGGTCAGCCACAGACCCCAGATCCCGCAGAAGCTCCTGAGGAAGGCTGGGAGAAGGCTCAGAGAGGAAAGTAGAAGAGGTTAGTGTATAAGGCACTGTAGGAAGAGGGTGTTTTCAGGAGCAGGCATTGGATGATAAAGAGGAAATGAGCAGAAGTGTCTTCATTTGAGATGCGAATGTAACCCAGCCTTCGAAAATGCTTTTTCATTAAAATGAGGCCAAGTCAGGCTTAGGAGGTTAGTATCCTAATGGACCCTTTGGTCCTCATATTCAGTAACTTATATATTGGACTGCCATGTTCAATGACCTATTATCTACAATGTACCCGTATGTTTGTGTGTACACAGACATGGTGTCTTCATATAGCAATAGTCTCATGGAAAAAACTTAGGTTCTTTCACCCTATAGACATTTCAATAAAAAATAAACTAAATGCCTAGGGCCAAGTGCATCATACTGACTTAGGGTTGTGTAAGTACAGTCTACAGTATTCTTACAAGGAAATTATCTGATAATGAATTTCTCAGAACACATTCCTATCATTAACCAATGCATGTTTAATATAAATTACATCTCACATTAAGAAAGTCACAAAATGCATGCATACTGATATAAATTGTACCTATCAAGATTTTAAAACCTTATAAGGTATCTAAATGAGGATTGATTTATTTTTCTCTTTAAAAAAACAAAAACAAACAAACAAAAAATAAAAACATGAATTTGGAAAGTGACTTGACATCCAAGGAGGACTGAGAGCTACCCGAGGACGTGGGGCCAGGAGCAGGGTGGAAGCTGTTTCCTGCAGCACTGCTTGCCATGTAACTGAGTCTTTCATATCCTCCCCACCCCCACCCCCACCCCCTGCAGTGGAATGGAGCAAGTCTAAAGACTTTTCCCCTTTGGCCGGGGAGATCCTCATGGACAACCTGCAGACCCTGAGGTGCACCATCACAGGCCTCACCACGGTAAGTGTCCTCCTGAGAGAGGCGCCCTGCCCTGCCTTCTTCTGCACAGGGATGCTGGTAGCAAATGCTACTCTCCAGGCAACAGCCAACACCCGGGTCCTCTGGCAACAACTGCCATTCGTTAAGCGTGATATGTCTGGTATCCATAATCTGAGTCTCACAAAAGGCGAGGCAGACAGCATGAACCACTTTGTAAGCTGCCATGTTCTCAGAGATCAGAAAGGGACTGGCCTCGTGTGAGCCTTGAAAGCCTCTGCCTTCTGGATCACAGTCTAATCTGCAGGGGATCAAAGGCTCTGAGAGATCCAATTTTGACTCCCAGCCTGATGGTAAAAATAACAGCCTCATCTAGCCCTCACCCCCACTGCCTCATTGAGATCAGTCATCAATTGGAGTCACACAATTTCCTGAGAGAAATCCTTTTCCCCTGATTAAAAAGGAAAAAAAAAAAAAACTGCCTAAATCTGCTACTACAGAAAAGAAACTATGTATGGCAAAAGTACAATCTCTATGTAACATAAACTAACTTTAACTGTGAATGAAAAGCTAGAACTAGCCATGTTTATTTGTTTATCAATCTAAACTCAAATATTAATTATTTATTTTGAACCACAAATGAGCATCCAAAAATGCAAAAAAATAAAAACACCTAGCAAATCTGCTCAGACTGAGGAAACTACATTGCCTCAAACAATTACAATTCAGAAGATAAAAAAAAATATTATTTTAAATCAAGATCTTTTAAGAGTAACCTAAAACTTTTAAAATACAATTCAAATAATTAATACCTTAAGATTTTCATATGGGAGGAGCAGAGAGATATTTCTGTTATTTTCTTAGGGGTTAGCCAATTAAAACAGTTATCTGCAGCGTATAATCCTGAAACCCAGCATTAAAAAGCTGCCATCAACCAACGGCATCCAGTTTATTCTAAGAGAATTCTTGGTGGTTTGGTCACCACCAAGAATCCTGACTTTTAGTCCTAATCGCATGTCTACACCAGAGGCCAGAACTGTGGATTACCAGAGCAAACAAAGCCCCCGGAGTGGGTGGCCCCAGAGATGCTATCAGCAGAAGGCTGGCTCCCACACTCTGGCTCGCATGGTGGAAAGGGGCCAGGAGGAACCCCAGGGAATTTCCATTGCTTAAAAGAAAGAGTGATATCATGATAAAAATGGAAAACTCTCCACAGAGAGGTTCTCTGACATCTAAACTAGCTTCTCTAGGGATGAGGTTTTTTCCACTGCGCCATCCAATAATAGCGATGCAGACATTATCCTGAGCATATAAATGCCTGGAAGTGAATTTAGAGATCTAGGCCATCCCTATAACCTTGAGTGCATAAAACCCAATTTTCAATGCTAGAAAAAAAGTGTTAACTTCATCATATGGTAAGGTAATATCATTGAAATCCTAGCAAAATCTCCACAAAGATTTTTTTTGAATGCAAATGCTATTTTACACTTACAGCAAGCAATCACTCACCCAATATTGGCTTTTCTAACACCCCTATGGTTTCACAGGAAAAAAATAAAATAAAAGAAGAAAAAAAAAAAACAGAAGAAAAGAAACCTCAAAGCAAACATTAAAACCATACAAAACATTTTAAAGGATTATCTGTAAGCAAAAATCAACTCCTTAATTCTTAATCCCATAAAAAGATGTTAAAGAATATAGGCCATTCTTTTAATAGTGGCTTTGAAATGAAGTCACATCAGAAAGCTGATTTTTTTCATGCTTGAACAGCTGAGTGAAAGGATGTTCATAGAAGCAATATTTATTGTGGCACAAAATGGAAAGAGTCCCAGAATCCACCCGTGAAGGACTGGATGAAAAAAAACGGAGGCACCTGCTCAATAGTGAAGTACTATGCAGGCACTAACAGAATGAGGTCTGCCTTCATGCACACTAGTCTGCCAAGATCGTTACTGTGGCTTGTTCATTTTTTACAGTAACTTGACCAGCTGAGGCTGGTTGCCCCTAGGGAGGGGAAAAGTGGGAAAAGGTGAGGGGGGGGGAGCCTGCTGTTGTTGGTAAACCTAGCAGAACCTTGTGGGTTGTAGAACATGTGGGTTGGGGTGGGGGGGCGTCTGTCTGTCTCTTGGGCTTTTTTTTTTTTTTTCTATTTTTGTTTATTTTATTTTGGCTTCTTTGTTTGCCTGTTGGTTTTCTAAAGAGAGAAAACAAAAAAGCATGTTGAGTAGGTAGCAAGGTGGGAAGGATCTGGGGGGAGCTCAGGGAGGGGAAACTGTGATCAGAATATATTATATGAAAAAATTGACTTTATACAAACAAATATATATGTATGTATAAAATCAATTTTTGTATGTGTAAGCTTGTATATGTAATCGGTAGATAGGCGGGTATGCAGATAGAAAGATGGAAGACGTTACCTACGATTTAGGGGCATAGGGAGTCAGGAAAAAAAAAAAAAAAAACTATGATATTCCAGCTCTGAAATCAAGAAAGTAAGAGACTCCTTCAAATGTGAATATGATGAATTCTAATGCCTGATGCAGTTTCCTATTTCAATTCTTTGCAGGGCCAACAGTATTTTGTTCAAGTCTCAGCTTACAACATGAAAGGATGGGGACCAGCTCAGACCACGACGCCGGCATGTGCCTCTCCCTCTAGTAGGTGGTAGCTACTTCCAGGATGGCAACATGCTCAACTACTCCATCCCTAAGGTGTCCCTGCCAGCTTCCCTCCCCCCTCATCAGCTTCTCACAGCAGCAGCTGGGCTATAGAATGATGATCACTCTGCAGAAATGCTCACAGGAAGGCAACTCAGGCCAGAGAAGAAGGCATCTGAAATCACAAGTTTCCTGAGAGTGACGTCTTTTAGTTGTAGCCTTCAAAGGTTACCGAAACTCTCAACCTCAATTCAACATCTGTAAAATAGGTCTAAATCATTTCACGTCACAGGACTTTTCAGGGATGGAGAGGACACCATGAGAGTGGCCAGCCCAGAGTATGCAATCCATCTTAGCCCTTTGCTCCTTTCCTCACCTACAGTGGACACATCACATTGATCTCCTATGAGAATGAAATCAAACCCCTTTGCTTTATCTGACATTCTGCCAAGAGAAAAGCTTTTTTATTAACAGTCACTGCCCAACCAACACAACATCTAAACTTTTTAGTAGTGGCAGAGAAACCCAGCAAAGATGTCTTGCAATCATTTGAAGATTAATAATGTATGCCTGGTATGTTTGTTATAACTCCTTGTTAAACAGAAAATTTAATTAACCAGAACAAACAACTCCAGACATGCAAGAGAGTAGGCTGCTCTTTACAATGAGCCCAGTGCTCTGGGCTCTACTTTCATCTTTTTAAAAAGTCATTAATGTTATAGTCAAGAGGACTGTCATGTGCATCTTGGGAGAGTGAGAACTGCTTAATCATTTCTGGAACTCAACTTGGATCTTATTCAAATGCCTTATGGATAGCCATTTCCTTTACCTCAATTTACATCTTGGGAGAAACAGAGATGAGATAAACAACTATACACAAAATGTACACTGCATCAGTAATTAATAGTAGCTAAATATCATGTGTAGCAAAGAAAACAAATGCCCAATATTTGTGTAATGGTAAAGTATGGTATATTCACTATCTATATTAAAGAGCCAAATATGATCAATCACTTAAAAATAATGTGTTTAAAAAACATATTATGTAGAAATGTACAAAAAAATTCTACAGTACAGTTTTTATGTAAAATAATAATAGAAGATGCAGAGAGTCACTCATCTCACCATTAGTTCACCTATAATAACTAGGATGTGACTAGATCACTATCAAAAATTAACATGGGCTGGAGAGATGGCTGACTTGGTAAAGTACTAACCACACAAGTAAGAGGACCTGAGTTTGATCCCCAAAACCCACAGTAAAAAAGCCAGGTGTGGTGGTACACGCTTGTAATCCCAATGCTGGGGACGGTATAGAAACAAAAGGTGCTTCAGGCTGCCTAGAAAATTCCAGGCTCAGTGACAGACCCTGTCTTTAAAACCAAGATGGATAGCAACTAAGGAAGCCACCCAAGTTTTATTTCTGGCTTCCACATGCACACATACATATGTGCACGCGCGCACACACACACACACACACACACACACACACACACACACACAGGTACACACACATTTAACAGTAGATACCTAGGTTACGAGTTTGTGCTTTCTCATTTATGTGTTTCTAGTTTTCAAATGTTATAACAGCCTTTCACCCAAGACCAACTATGAATCAGGTGATACTTGGGGTTTTCTGTGCAGTGTCTCTCCTCACCCTCACAGCAGTCCTTCGTCCTCCCTATTGCCTTGTGGGTCAGCATCACTGTCATTATCATCTGTAGCATCATCACCATCAGACACAACCTTTGTAAGACTCATTCTATTCAGGGCATCAACCTAAAAACTTGACACAGTCAGCTTGATCTCTTTGACTGACAGGGGAGCTGTTAACATAAGAGGCATAATTACAGAGTCCAGACTTTGAACTGGAATTCAGGTGAAGCCTTTTTGGAGGCCACATCACTGGTACACAGCTGAACCATGATTCAAACCTGAATTGCTCAAGATCCTTCCATGTCTCCTGTTGTAACTAGAGCCCTATTATCAGTCAGAGAAGCAGGCTGAAGGCCAATCAACCATGCCTACCTCCTCTAGTAGAATCCGTAGTTATGCAGGGTCTCACCTGGCCTTGGACCACCAATGCCAGTGCTCTCCAAGGCCCCTGACTCCCTCTGAATTTGATGATTTCATCATTAGTTTGGTTTGGATATTTCCATTGCTGAAGATTTATCAGAAACTTGTGCTGGGAAGTTCAAGATTAAGACACTAAGGAGCGGATCCTAATGGCAATAGCAGGGGGTTTGTATTATTAGAGACAGAGCATTAGAAAATACAGAGAGAGAGAGAGAGAGAGAGAGAGAGAGAGAGAGAGAGAGAGAGAGAGAGAGAGAGAAGACTAGTCTCAGTTAAGCTGGAAGCACAGGAGGGAAACTGATTCCAAAGGTACACCCCACACAAATTCTGATCTGCATATGACACATTGACCTCTAAAGCTCAGATGTTTGGGCTCTATAAGCTGTACATTCTCTTCATACACTCCTCTCTAGACCTCTCTCCAGAAGGACAAGAATGGTTGTTTGGGGCTTAGGGGAGTCTTTTATTTATTGGTAATTAGCATAGTGAATAGCAATGCTTTCTAAAACAGTGTGTTTGATTAGCAAGGGTAGCTGGCAAAGAGTCGAAGACCTAGCATATGGTTAGAGTTGCTGCAGACATGCCATATCACTTGGAAATAACAATATAAAAACACTCTCATTCTATTTATAAACAGAGTATGACATTGTGATGTAACATGTATCAGTATTCAGATATTTACTAGAGGACAATGTACTCTAACATGACAGAGTAATTGGAAATTTGGTAATATGTTCCAGTAAGCTATAAAACTTTTTTTTATATTTTTACAAAAGGCCTTAATGTGTTTTTATAGACTTATGTTATATGGTATGGTACATAATAAGAGAAAAGCGCCCAGACAGGCTTGTCTGAGTTACGATCAGGAAAACCCTGATACGGCCAGTGAATGTAAGCCCTGCATTGTGTTGCAATTGAAGTGTCTCGTTACCAGAACAGTGAGCTGTATTATGTGCCACAATCTGCTCTTTTCCTACCATGTGAAGTTTACTCCTGTCAGGGTCCTGATTTCTTAATATATTTTCAATTTTCTCCCTCATCCCTGCAGTCTCCTATTTTATGTAGTCATCAGAACTTTCCAAACATCTATGAGAAAAACTCATTCTTTCCAAAATGTTGGCATTGTTCAGTGCTCGCTGGGGCTGCAATTGAGCATTAGCAATTTTTGTATGTATCGTAAAGTCATCAGATCCAGCTCAGCTCCCATGTAAAAGGGCTAAGCTGAGAAGCTGAGACCCATTCCAGCACCCCTCCCGGTACTGTTGACAGCATTAAGACTCATTAGAACACATTAGCATGTTCAGGTCCGTGTACTAACTCAGCCACCCGGTAGTAGGACTCCAGCACAGGCTCCTGCTCATCCTCACTGTCCCGTAGGCACTTGAGAGGCATCCCTCCAACTAAAGGAACAGTGACCCGCGCGCGTCCATGACGGCGATATTTATTCTGTGTCCAGATGCAAGCAGGGCTGTAGTCTAAAGGCCTCTGGCAGTCACTTCCCTAAACTTCAAATGTCCCAGCCTTCCTGAACACCGTCATGCTTAGATTCTCAGTGCCTTGCCAATGGCATACTGAGCGTTTCCTGTGTGCCTAGGATGCTACTTGGCTGGTTCATACTTTCTTTTCAATCTCATCCTACCAAAGAGATTAAAAACTAACTTTGCAATGGAGACAAATGGGGCAAAGAGAGGTTCAATCATGGCTCTTGCCCACAGAAGGCACCTGTGCCAATCTTCTGTCTCCAGAGTTGACCTCAACTAAGCCCCAACAGACAAACTCCAACTAAGATCTAACTCTCTTGCCCGAAAGAAAAAATAAACATGTGCAGTATAATGAAAGGAGCATGAACACTATATACAAGGTCACCAGGCCGTCATGTCAGCGCTGGCTGGGCCTCCAAGCTGAGCGAGGCAGGTCTGGAATGGGGAAGGGATGTCTCAGCTTCATCTTCCTTGAGGTAAAATGAACTACACATAAGAGAGAATGAAAAGGAAGAGAGGCTTGAAAAACTATGAGGCCCCCTTCTTTCTAGATAATCATCAGATGGGATAAAAAATAGTGTTTCTATACTGAATTGCCTTCAAGTCTTATTTACAGAATGCCTGTCATGGGACAGGCATTGTGCCAGATCCCTAATATACTTCTCATTTCATCCTCATAAACCTTTCACAAGACAGACACCATCCTCATTTTTCAAATTAGGGAGTGAAGGGCCTGTCGATATAAAGGACTTCCCTGCAGTGAACTGGGAACAGGAGGAGCCATTGCTTACATTGGAGTTTAGTGCATCCCGAAACCTAACTTTACATTACCCTACCTGATCTAATTCATCCCATCTCTGGGCTTAACTGACCCCCAATGATGTCTCTCCAAAATGCATACATCCCTGGACTTCAGATGGACCACTGTGAGATGCTTGGCCCTCTCTGCTGTGAAGGACTTGAGTGTCTGAACAACGACGATGCTGTACTTTTAAAACAATTCTGTCAGGGACTGACAGGCTTCTCTGAGGTGGAGTGACTAGCCTTCGTAGAGATGTACTTGAAGTTGTTGTTTCTGAGACATTCAGAAATCAAAAGTAGAGGAGGGTGAATAGGAGCGGAGATGGACAATGAAGTGAACTAACCGGCTTGGGGGGGGGGGAGGATCTAGAGCTGGAGACAGCAGAGTTGCAATCTTGACATTAGTCCCATATGAGTTATTACTCTTGATATCATTATAGCCAAATGGAATGAAAATAGAAGGGGGAGAAAATCTCAGCGGGGACTGCAATTTAAATTTGCCATGTAAGCTAATACTGTATATTTAGAGACTGAGCAGACAGGGTGGTTGGTGGCTCGGAGTATGTGTAGAGGCCGCTGTGCCAGCTCACCAAAGCAGACATTCATTAGAGCAAAATGTAGATTTCCATTTCTTGGCATCTGACATGGGCTCTTTCCTTGGAAAGAAATGTCAATTTGGCCAAAAGTGTGAAACCTACAATAAAAGCATTGGGACTGTGGATTTCATCTAGTCTGCACATTCCCACCCGTCTTTCCTACTGTGAAAATTCTGTTGAAACTCGGGGTGCCGAGTGAAGAGGTAACCGGGGGACTGATAGGACAGGGGGTGCTGAGCCGGGGAGGGAGGGCTAGGAGAGGAGATACTGGACTTCCAAATTTCCTATTTCTTTTGGCTCTCAAGCACCATTTTCTCTTGCCCCCAAACTGCCCAACACAAGAAGCCAACCACAATTACTGTTTTGCATAGAGTTCTGAACAATGGCAGCTCCCAAACCGACATCGTCGTCGGCATCGCCTGCCAGGTCTGCGTGTGCTGGGTGCTCATCCACGGAGCCTGTGGGTAGGGAACACAAAACCCCAGCACCTCAGGCAAGGCAGGACCGAGGCCGCCTCTGCTTTACCATTTCCCTCTGTTTGTTTCTTTTGTTCAATAGACTGGAAAGACTATGACGACAGAGAGCCCAGACACAAGGGACAGAGTGAAGTTCTGGAGAGCCTGCTGCAGCAGGTCCGAGCCCTTCATCAGCATTACAGCTGCCGGGGTAAGGATAAAATCTGTGCTGGGCCATCGACTGAGGTCTCAGTGGCGCCGGTAATTTTAGCAGTTTCCTAGCTGGGTCATACCTTCTCATTCATCAGGGAAAAAGAGATATTAATATTTGTACATCTGGAATCACTTTACAGCACTATCTTGCTTTAACCCTTCCACAGGGCCTTCCCTCTCTTTTCCTCCCCTTCCTCTCTCCTTTTCTCCACACAGAAAGTTTGAAAATAGGCATGAGAAAAAAAAAACAGCCTCCGCTACTGTTCTTGTCTCTCTGAGCTGGCCCTTCCCAAGACTCATCTGTGGGCCTTGAGACAAGCTTCCTCGGCCTTTCACCCCGAGCATCGTGGAGGGCGCTCCAGCGAGGACAACACAACACGCCTTCACGTCTATTGATAAAATAGCTTACAATGCATTTTCACATCCACCATGCCAACTTCAGCCTCGCTTTGGCCATTGCAAGGGAGGCTAAGTTGATTTGCCCAAGGTCATAACGACAAGCTATGGCCTGGGGCTTGTGGTGCCAAGTCCAGTCTTCCTGTTGTGCCTCATGTGTGTCCTGCTGAACTTCAATCCCGCCTTGAACTCTAGTCTTCCCATTCCACTGTTGGGGCAGGAGGAGAGCTCACCTCCTCTCGATCTTAGCCCCACTTCACCCAGAGACTCCGAGATGCTTTTAAAAGCTTCTCTGTTACTTGGGCTGCTCAGATGGACCAGGGTCAGGTTTCTGATCTGTGTAATGATTCGTGGAAGAGGCACTTAGTTTTATTTGGAGAATTAAAGCCTCCATAAAGTTTTCATTTTCCATGCTCCCATCAGATCTCTGACTACTCCGTGCTCTAGATTCAGGGCACTGCTGAGCCAGCTGGGTAAAAAAAACCCATGGCTCAAACTAAGATGCTGTTCTTGCTGTTTAGATGAGGCATAAATCATACTTAGCATTAGCACAAAGTTTCCCAATTACTGTATAGCTCTGACAACAGGGCCCTTCAGAAACGTTGGCTCTAGCTGGAGATGAGGACAAGTGTTTGCAAGAAAATGGTGTTTTTCTAATGAGTGGCTCATTAGGAGATGTAAATATGTACGAGAGCAGCTGGAGAAGGAAACCTAAGTGGGATTTTCATTCCTGGATCTCTAGGAAGACTTGACACCCCACCACCACCACCACCACCACCACCACCACCAAAAAAAAAAAAAAAAAAGGAGACCTGCAACATTCTACATGACCAAAGTCCTCTCATCCTGGGTTCCTGGGGCTCATTTCATCAAGTGTGGTGTTACCTGAGTTCCTCTCTTTTCTGCCTCTGACTCCTGTAAGAAAGCAAAGGTGATCCAGTGACTGGACAGGTGCTCTTTGTAACCCATAGCCACTCTGTGTTTGGTATTCTGAGGACAGAAACTGAAACTGCCCATGACCAGGAGGGGTTTTTATTTGTATATTGCTAAGGACTCAGATACTCTCCCTATTACGATGTGATTATTTTCCAGTACCCAAGAGATGATTTCCTGGGTAGCTCAATTATTTCTATAGTTTCCACCTCAACTCTTCACATGCACGCCCGTGCCCCTTTCCAAACCATGGCTGTACACATAATATTAGGAATGATGTAACTAAGGAATAAAGTAGACCTTCACCAAAAGGGACATTTTAAAATTTGGTAAAGTGTATCCTGGGCACTGAAAATAATACAACGTGAGAGATGCGGCAGTCTTGTGAGAGACTCAGCTCAAGAGCTCAGGTCAGATAAGGTTAGGAGACACTGAATTCTTCATCCCTCTCGTGGAAATGCAAAATAGACACCAGAGTGTTAAAGACTCCAGTAAAGAACCTAGAAAACACGGTTAAATAACATGGCCCAGACTCTTCAGCCATATGAAGCCTTTGCCACAGAATTAGGATTCTATGTCGTAAACTTTGGGAAAGACTGACCTATGACCAGTCAAGATAAAATAAATTAGCTCACAGAAAAAAAGAACACTTCTAAGACATGTCAACACAACTCTGTTTCAAAGGCTATGCAGAGGCTGTGTAAAGATTGCTCACAGAGACTATGAAGCTGTTGTTTTGAATATTCACTACATTGAGATACTGTGGTTTATTGGGGACATAAACCTTTATAAACTTTGCAATTAGAAAAAAAAGAAATAATTACCCCGAGTCCTAGTTCTACCATTTAGAGCTTTGGAAAGAGCATTTAACCTAGCCCTGGTCACAGCTTCTTTATCAGAAAACCAGGCTGTCTAGCTTGCAGTGTTGTTATGAGGAGGAAATGGGACCACAGACTCAACACACCCAGCTCAGTGGAAGCCCCGCACACACTCCGGCTTCTTTTCCTTCGGTGTTCTTGTGAATGAAGACTGGCGCCGCTCTCCACCCACAGTGCTTGGCGGACACATCTTAGAGTGGTGACCCCACTGTGCGGAGTGGGATCCGCCCCTCTACACAGCAGACACGGGTGCAGAAGCAATAGACAAGCTCCTCTACTCCGGAAACCCTGGCCGACCAGGACGAGAGCCTCCCAAGTCCTTTCTGCACGGAGGTTTATGTCCTTAATTGTGGGACTTCATTTCTTCCACCACCACCACCCCTTTGCCTCTCTTCTCTCCTACTAGGATTCTTGCTCGTTAGAGGTTGAAGTCTCCAAAACTAGTCCTTTTGATTTCTTTCTCGGCCCTTGTTTCTCATTTATGTTTTCTCAACATAAAGGCCTGGCTGACTTGGAACTCACTATACAGACCAGGCTGGCCTTAAACTTGTGGTAATTCTCCTGCCTCTACCTTCAGTGCTGGGATATCAGCTGTGTGCTGCCACACCTAGCTCAATTCTCAAAAAGAAAAAAAAATTATTACTTTCATTTCCTAAGCCTTCTGTTGGATTTTGAAGTTTCTGATAACATTTTTAATTTCCAATGCTCTTTTTTTCTACTATTAAGAAACAAGTAATCCCTGCCTTTTCTCTCAGAATGTTAATGGCAAGCTCTATTTTGATCCATTTTGTGTTTGCTCAACACAGTCTCCCTTCAAACTCGCTCTTTTACCGAGTGTTGGTCTTTGTGCTTCCTCGCGGGCGCGTCCTTTAACTGCCTAAAGAGCCTTCCTTCAGTGTCTGCTCAAATTTAAAAGAAGAGAGACCAGTAACCACTGGGGAGTTCTGAGCACATGGACAAGGAACTATATTCACAGGCTTCACTGTCAGGTGAACGGGTGCCATGTTTTCATTGGGAAGTCACCAATGCCATGATCCGAGGGCATATGCTCTGGTAAAATTCTTGGAGAAATTCCTTCCAAACTCCTGCCTAGAAAGTGCAACTTTCAGTATGTGTGTTCTGAGTACATAATGGGTAGATATCATATAGAAAAACATTTAGGCTACCCATTTTAAAACCTAGTACCATGACCATTGCCATCCCATTTCCTGTTGTCCCTGATGTCTCCCTGTCTCCTACTCTAAGAGCTTTGGTTTCTGTTGTTCGTTGATTTTCTTTTTCTGTTTGTTTTACTTTCTAGAGAACAAGCCACTAACTTTCATCTAGGGTAGGAAAGGGGTCTTTGTCTAGCTATGCAGTAGAGAAGGACTCTAGAAGTCTGATTTTTACAGATTTTGGAAACTCCCAATTTTAGCTGTATATGCATCCCCCCCCCCCCGCCCCCTGCTAGCAGCCATGGAGGCTGTGGGGTGAACCAGGTTTCTTCTCAGTGGTCCACTGCAGGTGTTTAAGCCTCATCTTTCTCAAGTCTGTTAAGTCCATCTGTCCACCTGCTTTCTGCTACCAAACCTCACTTACCGTTGTCTTCTGTCCCGTTGATTTTGCCCTTATAGAATCCATTTCCATCCCTGCCTGTTCTGATTTTAGTAAGGTTTAGACAGAGTGGCAGGTGATGGCTACGCTGACTCCCAGCCTTGAACAGCAGGGCTGTTCTCCAACAGTCAAACTCATGTTCAAATCAGAAACAGAAATTATCTTACCTTTTCCTTCCAGGAGCAACTATTACTAGCGCCACATCTGAAGCACATGTCAGCCAATGAAATGACTCCTGTAGGATCACAGGCAGAGCCACACTGGGCCGGCCGCTAGCAGGGGCCATTCCCCCCATCCCCAGGCTTCTCTGTCTAATGGCAGCGTTGGGGCTTCTGTTCTCATCCCTGGGAACAGGCCTGCCAAAGCTCAGTGATGACACCAATCACCTCAGCTTCCCTTCACTACAGACAACTGAATAAGTGGCAGCAGCGACCATCTTGCCTGAATTCATAGAGCATTGCTTGCAAACACCATTTACAGACATCTGGGGATTCTTCCACAGCTATCGGGGATAACTCTGGGTTATAAACAGGCGAGGAAACGTGGGCGATATGCTCACACTCACACCTACAGAGACACACACACAGCTGCTTTCCCAAAATGATTTATGCGGTCTCTCTGGGGACCGTCTTTGCTATTTTGGACAATTCATTTGTTTCTCAGCCCAGTCCCTCCTTCTAAACAATAAAGGTAATAGTGAGACCTATCCCTACATATATATTTTTATTTTGTTTTTTCCTGTTTAAAATTTTATGTTTTTAAATGAAAGAGAATTACATTACTTCCCCCTCCCTCTACTCCCGCTAACTCCTCTCTGCTGTCCTTCCTTGAATTCTTCCCATGTCCCCCTCCTCAAATTGATAACGTCTTTGATTATTAGTTACACATATACGTGTATGTGTGTACATATGCAAGTGTATGCACAAATGTATATATAAATACAATATAAATACAACCTGCTAAATCTGTTTTGGTTTTGTTGTGTATGTAGTTTCAAGGCTGACCACTCTGCATTGGACCATCAATAAGGGAACTCATCCCTGGGAGAGGCTAATTCTCCTTCTCCCAGCAGTCAGTAGTTTCCTGTAGGTCTTTCTCTATGTGTGAGACCTCGAGAAATTTCCCTCTTTCCGAGTCACCATGTTTATTGACGTTGTCATTGGTCCTGTCCTGTTTGTGCAGCCATTTCTAGGACAGCAGACTTCCTGGTATTGTGGCTCTTACAATCTTTCTCTCCCCTCTTCTATGGGTCCCTGAGAAGGAGCTGTGATGTAGATACATCTGTTGAGGCTGGGTTCTCTACTACCTACAGATGTTCTCATAAGTAAACACACATACTAGAAAAGACTGCCCCGGGATGCTAACTGTAGATATATCAAGTGGTGGGATGAGTTGGGTAAATCTGTTCCTTTTTCTTTCCTATTCTCCAGATCTTCTGTAATGTGCTCATATTAACCCTAAAAGGAAAAGATTTAACTAGATATCTAAACTAACAAGGGAACTTTGAAAGCATTGAGAAATGGTGAATATTAAAAATCCAGGTGGTAAAAGGGGAAGAGGTAGAGGAATTGGTTCCCTTTCTCTTCATCTTACTTGATAAGAAAGCACTCATTTGACTGAGAGATAACAAGACCTTAAGTGGTTTCCCCCGGTTATAAATATTGCCCACCTCCAACATTTGTGAAGAGCTGTTCACTGACTGAGCCAACTACTAGGAGATGAACCACTCTTCCACAGCTTTGACAAAACGCCAGGCAGAAACTGCTCAGAGGAGGAAGGATTTGTCATATCTCATGGTTTCACACCATTCATGGGGAAGGCCTGGTGAAGTGCTCATATATCATGGAGGAGATGGCAGGGGTACATAGCAGCAAATGTCATTCACTCTTTGGGGAATCAAAAGAGTAAGACAGCCAAATGGACAATACACCCCCCAAGGGCCTGGCCCCAGTAAGCTACCTCCAACAGCCAGGCCTCACCCCCCAAAACCTCCAAACTGCCAATCCCTGCAAACACCTCCATTCACTGGAGACCGAACATTCAAAACATGGGCCTATCGGGGCATTTCCAACGCAGGCCAGAGCAACCGGTACCTCAATAAAGACAAGTTTCTTGAAGAAACAATAAGCTGGACCCCTGTATGAAATTGGTAAGTGACACACAGGGGCAAGGGAAAGGCAGGAAGTAGGAAGGAAAAGCAGAAACGTCGACCTGTCCGATGGAACCCGCACTGCATCTTCTTTCTGCATTCCAGAAAGTTCGAAATTGCAAACCACGGGCCGCAAGCAGTCAGTGTCAAGGAGCCTGAAGCACCTGTTCCATTCCTCCAACAAGTTTGTGAAGACCTTGAAACGGTGGGTCCTAAGCACTCTCTCTAGGCAGTCTTAACACCTCAGGAATGAACTAGCCAGGGCTCGAAGTGGAAACCAAGTAAAAAGTATGTATTTTTATTAAAAGAATGAATTCTCCTGAGAATTTGGGCAAGACACCAATCTCTAAGTTCTAGCCAGTAAATTCCCGATACATAGCAAAAATATGTTTCTAGGTACATTTTTCAATTCAGCTTACAACATGTCTAATTATACTAATTATATATACAAACATATTTAATTGTATATTTAATTGTATACACATATCTGTATATGTAACTATATATATAATTTTTTATATAATTTCCTGAGACTTGTTTGGTAAAGCAAACCATTGAAGATTTGTTTTCTCTTTCTGTTTTTCTTTGTAGAGGACTCTACATAGCCGTTATATTTTATTATAAAGACAATATGTTAGTCACCAATGAAGATCAAATACCAATTGTTGAAATAGATGACTCTCATAGCAGTTCTATTACCCAAGATTTTCTGTGGTTCACAAAGGTACACTGAGTCCTTCCTCATTTCATTTTTCTCGATCTTGCACCAGGGTTACTGCACATAAATCTCTGAAACTTCAGTTGAGGGGTCTCTCATGATCAAAGTTTTGGGGTGGGAGTAAATTATCTCACAGATCCCTTATGGCCCCAGGATGCCCTATGTCATTTTTTTTTTTAAGGCTGAAGTAGTGTCACCACTACAGTTTCAAAGCAAAGAAGCGTGCATCCTGTCAGATTGTGTCTCCACTATTCAGAGTTATGGGATCATTTGGCAAAGACTAAAATGTAGATCTGACTGTTTCATTAGCATTCAGATCTTTTTCCAATTGGACGGAGATCAAAAAGTGGTTTCGTGTGTATCTGAAAATGGACTGGAGAACAAATATCAGGGGGGGTCAGGTTTCCTTCTCCTGCTTTGCTTTGATGCCTTAACCTAAATCATTCCCTGGCTTGGACGATGATATGACCTCGTGACTTCTTTTGCAGCTGTCTTGTATGTGGGAAGACATCAGGTGGCTGAGGCAGAGTGTGCCCATCTCCATGTCCTCATCCACAGTGCTCCAAACTCGGCAGAAGATGCTTGCTGCAACCGCCCAACTACAGGTGAGGGACCGGGCTTGAGCTCAGACCCTCAAGGAAAATGTCTTCAAACTTGAAGAGCTCAGTCACCAACCCTACCTGAAAAGAAGGGTGGGCTCCCTCCTCTTTCAGATCTCTGGCCACCAGAAGGCTTCTTGGGCAATCTGACTATGTGCTTACTCATGTTGGCCTTTGGTATGGAATCCTAAAGAAAGAGTGAGGAGATCAGAGTTCCTCATTTGATACTAATCGATCAGCTCGGTTCTTCTTCAAGGGTTCACGTTCATCACCTGTAGAACAAGGGGAACTTGACTGGATGAAGGGAGCAGAGAGCAGCAGGAGGTTAGATCAACTCTCTGGTGTGTTGCTTTGGAAAAGCCTATGCATGTATATGAAGCTGGTGTCTTTAAGAGAACCCCAAGCCTCTGTCGGTGATGTATATCTACTTACAAAACTATCTCTTATAATCGCTAGAAATTTGCATAATGGGAAGGTAGGCTATATTTGGCCAGCAGGCCCACACCAACCATGGTATAAAAAGTTCATAAAGATCTTCTAGCTCCACCCCCACCTACAATCACAAGAATTTCCTTTCTCTTTTTGAACCCCTGCAATAACAACTAAACCCTATAACTGCATAACAATTACCATGTTGCTAGAAAAGGTTACCTTTGCCCCTCTGTGTTCTACTCCACTGCAGAGACCATCTTGTGTCCTCAGTGGCTTCAGATTTTAGTAGTGTTCATTACAATTCACTCTTAATTGGGAATCTCCTCCTACGACTCAAAGAGAAGTTTTGATTGGACTATGCCACCATGTTCCAAACTGTTTTCTTTAAGAGAAAGAAGTTTCCAAGAGGCTCTACCCCTCCACCAGCCCATCATATAACTAGGATATGCCTGACCACACCCTCCACCAGCCCATCATATTACCAGGATATGCCAGACCACACCCTCCACCAGCCCATCATATAACTAGGAAAAGCCTGACCACACCCTCCACCAGCCCATCATATAACTAGGGTATGCCTGACCGCAGACTGACCCACCTTAGAATTTCAAGCAAAGCTCTTGGTTGTGTGCTGACTGGATTCTTCCTTGAACACTTGCATGTGCTATCAGGAACCTGAAGACAGGCTGTTGCTAGCCATACAGTTAGATGCTGAGGGATCCCTCAATGGCCAGTGCGACCCTACCCCATCCATACCACAACACTCTTAGATTTCCTTGCTTCCCGCTCCAAACTTCTGATCCCACCATCCTTTGAGACTATTTCCCTCTTTATCAAGCTGAGGTTCTGTGATATATCACAATCACTCTTTGAAAATATCCTAGATTTTTGTCTTGGAAAAAAAAATGTAAGCCTAGATCAATCCAACGTGTCTACACTAAAGTAGTTACACTCGGATTTCTCAAAGGAAACACATCGTGTGCATGAAAAGGACTGATAGTTTCTCTACTCCACACACAGCCACAATTCTCACCTAGGTTGTTGTCTAGTGATTTCGCTGCATTTCTGTAGTAACCTGCTTTCTCACACGACAAAGCAACTATTTAAAGCCCTTCTTCATTCTCCTACATCCTTTCCATTCCCCACATTCTCCATCCTGACAACGGTGATGATATCACTAATTTTCTAAGAGATGGGAATGGGTTTCCACCACCAAATTTTCAAAACCTGCCTAGATACCTTCTCTTTGCCCCCCTGTTGCAGCAGTTTATACAGTCCCGCCCTCACAACTAAGGGCTTGCTCCTCCATGCATGCTCTGAATCTCATCTCTTCTATCTTCACTTAAAATACTCATCTCAGACTGGAGAGGTGCCTCGGTGATTAAGAGCACTTACTGCTTTTGCAGAGGACTTGAGTTTGTGCCCTAAATCTACATCAGGTGGCTCACAATCACCTGTAACTCTAGTTGCAGGTGGATCCATCACCTCTGGCTTCCATGGACATTTCATTCATGTCACACAGACACGCATACATAATTAAAGGTAATAAAGAATAAATCCTTTTTCAAAAACCTCATCTTCAAGTTAACCCCATGCCTAAAGTGCCCTCACATACCCTTTCAGCTACCAAATAATCATTTTTCATTCCTCACATGAACTTCCTCGAAAGAATTGCTTATAGCCTCCTTCTCCACCAACCTTCGCATTCCCCCATCAGCTCTAGTACCATGCCTACAAAACTGCACTATCAGGCCACACAAAGTTGGGTTGTACGGGTCCCCACCAGAATAATGAGGCTGCAAGTATGGGAGATCCAGGGTGGTTTTTGGGGGGGAAGAGAAGTTAGGACTACAATCAATTGGCATTTCTGAGAAACTGCCTAAAGAATTTCCAGGAAGAAAAGGGGACCCAACTCCAGTATTGGCAGAGGAGGGAAGGGAATGTGAGGATTTCTTTTCTCATTCTAAATTAACATCCACTTTTGTATTCTTTAAGAGACTCCCCAAATTGTGTAGCAGGCCTTCATGAAATATTTCTCCATCCCTGCCAATGACTTCAGCATCACTAACTCCAATGGACCCTTGTGAGTCATCTTCATGACTGACAGCTAGCAGTATTTGGTACACCTGGTCCTGCTCTGCTGTTTGAAACTTGCACATTCTTTGGCTTCCGTAACACCATCCTCTCCTGATTGTCTCACACATTCTCGTTTGTCTTTCTCCGTCTCTTCTGCTAATGTATATGCCATTTTCTGCTTACAATACTCTCTTCTTTCACCTCTTTGCCTTGCTAATTCCTACGTAGCCTTTAGGTCTCAGCTTAATGTTTATACTTCCTCGGGAAGCCTTTCTCTGTCCTCAGAGTTAGGTCAATCTCTCCCACAGTACCTTTAGTCTTCATTCAGAGCAATGATTGCCAGACCATTACTTCTTTGTCTTTCTTCACCCCTCTTTCAACACTGGGTATAGTCTCATCCTTCCAACCAAAGGCTTGCTCCTCCACGCATGCTCTGAATCTCAGATCTCTCCTCCTATCTTTATTTTACAACATTCATCTCAGACTGGAGAGGTGGCTCAATGACTTGCTTAGTCTATCACTGTTTATAAGTCACCTTTGCAACATTTTAAAGATTACTTTCAAAAACACTCATCTCTGAATGAGAGGTGGCCCTAGTGACCTGCATAGTTTCTAATACCTGAGTTCAAAGACTGTTGTCTGTCCTGGTTATCACAATAACTTTAATGTCCGACACATGGTAGACTCTCACTCTAGGTATTGTGTAAATAAGAGTGTTTGACAGTCCAATCCCACACACCCCCAAAATCACATTGGAGAGAAATTTATATAAAAGAGACAAGGAATCACAGAAGTGTCTCGCAGACAGTCACCACCTAGACATCTCCCCTGCTCTTCACAGTAATCAGAGCCGCATAATTCTCAATCGATGCCCATGCTCTGGTGCCCTCAGCAGAACCCTGAGCCCTGTTCTGTGTTCTCCCTGCTCCATCATGCTGCTGCCGCCTGCTTTAACAACATGCAATGTCTTCACCTGTCTCCTGGAAGACCTAGTGCTCTACAAACAATGCTTCCTAGAATGTTGAAAACACACTTTTAAAGAGGTAGATAAGGTGAAGAAAAACCTTTTTAAGAGAGGAATTGACAAATACCATTTTAGGTTACTTTATCAATCTAAATTTATATGGCAGTGTTCTGAGGAAATTATTCATGGTTGGTATCAAGCATACTTAAATCTCATGGACTTGCCTGAGGCATATGGTATTTCATTCTACTCTTCTTTCCAGCCTTTCTACCATAGCTTTATTACTCCACTTACATCAGAAGCATCCCAGACCATTGCTTCTCTTCTGCTCTGAACAGTTTCCAACCCATCCTCTGTGCTTCTGCCAGAGTGGCCACTCTAAAAGATGTAGGCCGCAGCATTCCCTAGCTTAGACTCTTCCAATAGTGGCCCAGGTGTGTTGCCATAGCACACATGGCCTTAGTCACAGTCTTTCTCTCCCTCATCTGTAGCCACAGCACACTGGTTTATTGTCTTACCCGCTGTCATAGTACATACCAACTATTGTGCAATTTACTCCTTGTTTCTTGGTTTATTTGTACAGTAAGGTCCTCTTTGAGCTTATAATAACAATACTATGGGACCAACTGCTTTCATTCCTTTAACAGACTATATCAGGTATGTCCAAAACTTTTTCTCATTCAGTCTTCACTACAACCTAATGAGAATTTACTATTATTGATATTCATTTAACAGAAGACAAATTTGAGGTTTAGGAATGTCAATTATGCTCAAGGTCACACAAGTAGGAAGTATCAGACGATGGATTCAAATTGTATATGTGTAGCTCTAAAGACTGAATTCTCCCAATACTTCAACATATTATGGTGTGTTAACTTACAACCTGAAGAAGTTATCCACATTATAGTTAAAAAGAAAGAGTGGAGCCCAGCACTCAGGAGGTAGAGGCAGGCAGATCTCTGAGTTCAAGGCCAGCCTGGCAGCCTGGTCTACATAGCAAGTTCTAGGCCAGCAAGGGCTACACAGTGATACAGAGAAAGAGAGAGAGAGAGAGAGAGAGAGAGAGAGAAACTTGTCCAAACCTGAGAGTAAGCCATCATAAGTTGGCTTTACTCATAACTTTATTAAAATGGCCACTTTAATATTATTCCATTGTGTATTGTGTACTATGTATTAAGGAATATGTTTGGTAATTCAACTATTACTGAATTCTTCCTATGCATTGTAAAAAGGACCTAGAGACACAGAAAGGAAAGAGCCATGTCCCACAACAGGTACTTCTGTTACATGCAGTACAATCACATACATACCAAGAACTTTATACACAAGAAGATTGGAAAGAAAAGAGAGGATGGAGAATTCTACCTGAGATTCTATTGGACAGCTTTTTTGTTACTCTGTACCTGAAAGGAACAATTTAAAGAGGGAAAGATCACTGTTTGGCCTCACAATTCAGAGTCTCTACCCAGCTTGGTTAGCCCTGTTGTTTGGCATGACAGAGCATCATGGCAGTGCTTGCATGTGCAGAGGGGCCACCTGCCTCATAGTGACCAAAAAGCACAAAACCATGAGGGGCCAGGGATAGGATCTACCCTTCAAAGGCATACTTTCAGTGACCTATTTCCCCATCCCACCTCATTTCCTAGTTTCATTACCTCCAATAATGCCATCAAATTGTGAGTCTATCAAGAAAGAAACCACTGATTACATCTGAGCCTCATATCCCAATCACCTCTCAATGAGCCTGTTGGGGGATATTCCATATTCAAACTGTAACAGTTAGAAATGTCTTCCCAGAGAATCTGGAACTGGGCTGGTTCAAGAAAATATAGTTGGCCAGGTGGTGGTGGTGGTGGTGGTGGTGGTGGTGGTGGTGGTGGTGGTGGTGGTACACGCCTTTAATCCAAGCACTCAGGAGGCAGAGACAGGCAGATCTCTGTGAGTTCAAGGCCAGCCTGGGCTACAGAGCGAGTTCCAGAAAAGGTGCAAAGCTACACAGAGAAACCCTGTCTCGAAAATATATATATAGTTGGTGACTAAGAGGAGATTCCATTTACAGCAGATTGGTAAAATCCCACATTCAACAGCATAGCAGGCTTGAGAATTTGTGAAACACATTTTCATGTGTTGCTTGATTTAACCCCTGGACACTGTGAGGTAAGAACTAGCCAGAGTGATGCCTAAACTGTAAGGACCTTTTATTTAACATGGGGAAGCTCAGAACCAGAGAAAGTAAACAGTCGAATAGTTAATAAAGGGTAGCCAGCCATGAGCCCCAGCACCTGTATGAGAAAAGTCGTAATAGCTGTGTGTGCTAAAACCAACTCATTACTGCCTTGGAAAACCAACTGTTCAACGTTCAGAAATGTTGGAAGCTTATTGTCATATCCTAGGTAGCTTGGAATGGACTACACTATAGAGACTGTTACTGACTACAGACCAGCCACCCCGCTCCTTGCCCTCTTGTTTGTTTTGGTATGGCAGTTCACCGACACAACACTGCTCATATAATAAAGTGTCTGCATAAAACTATAGTGCTACATAGATGTAGACTAAAAATCTTACCAACATGGGTGGTTTTTATGACTTATAAGTAATTTGTTAGAAAAGAAAAATCTGAATGATTACGTTACTTAAAAATTAATCTTACCAAATGAGTTTTGTCAATAATTATTTATAAAGCTCCTTACTCATTCTGTGTCTGGTCTTCGTAAGGGGAAAACAAGGCTTAAGACACAGTCCCTATCTCTGAGGGAACATTCCAGGATTTGAGATTTGAATACTAGTCTTGTTTATTTTTAGTTCAACCTTGTCATTTCTACAAATTCCAGTTCTACATCGGCTCTCACGCTAGCACATCATCACATCGTCATTTATGTGAGTTCGCACGCACGCACGCGCACGCGCGCGCGCGCACACACACACACACACACACACACCAGCTAGGGACTCTCCAGTGGTTTGTATGGGATTCAATTTTAATCATCTAGCACTCTTGGCTAGAGATCTTCACCCCCTTCGTATTTGTATAATTCCTCTTTATTTTCATGAGCCGTGCCTCAGTCCCTTCATATTTAATGGAACATCCTTCTTACTTTTCTAAAAGTATTGTCTGCCTCTGTTGACAGAGTGCATAAGCAATTTCAACAAACCTTTCAGTAAACAGAGCTCCCTGAGATGCAGATAAGTCAAACCAGGCCAGCCTCCTGATTAAAGAATCTTGCAGGGAATGCGCAGTCATCAGGGGACCTCTGTACAATGTGCCACATTGTCAATTCACTTCTTCATTTTAAACAACCCCACCTCACACTAGCTTACTGTAGATCTCTTGAAAACTCCACAAGTAGCATACTTGAAATATCAGACATTTTTCTTGAAAACATCTGGGATTCTCTTCAAGTGCTGGTCACTGAGGTTTACGTGCTGGTGTGTCTATGTGGGCAAAAGATATTTACAGATATTGAATTTGCTTAAAGAAACATAACGTCTGTGCCTCTCACTATAGTCTTTGCAGGCTCACAGTGAAGGCGTTTCTTTGGGCTTTTTGTTAAGCACATTCCTGCAATGCCACCTACACCAGGTCTCAGTCTGAAAAAAAAAACAAACCGCAAACAGCGCCTCAGAATTCCGGCAGTTTTCAGCATCTTTTGTGCGGTTTTGTTGTTCTGTTTTACAACATCAACTAAGCTACCCATCATCTGTTGGTTTCTAGAATTTACTTGGAACGCACAACTTGGGAAGACTTTACTATGAGCCCATTAAAGATCGCCATGGCAACATCCTCATAGTCACCATCAGAGAAGTAGAGATGCTTTATTCCTTTTTTAATGGCAAATGGATGCAGATCTCAAAACTGCAAAGCCAGAGGAAGTCCCTGTCAACTCCCGAGGAGCCAACAGCCTTAGATATTTTACTAATAACCATTCAGGTATGTAGGATTTTTTTCAATTTTTGGATATTTGTAATTCTGATACATTTATGGCAGCTCTAATACCATATACCAAGAGCCATTCACATAAATGGTGGTGCTGAGATGATTCACTGTTCAGATTCCACAGGTGGGAACGATGCTGTGGGTGACTTTCATTGATTTCTGTCTCCGTACGGAACTGATCAAGCAATCCTAAGAGTGGGCACTCTGAAAATGCCCTGACAATTGTATTCGTCACTTTCACATTACTGTGACCAAACTCTCACCCAGAGAGAAACAACATAAGGGACACAGGTTTATTTTGGTTCACAGTTTCCCAGTTACAGTCCATCGCAACAGGAAATGCATGGCACATGGCTCAGCCACGGTGGAAGGAGCCTGACACAATGGCTGTTCATGTTGTCACAAGCCAGGAAGCAGTGGGTGGCCTAGGTGAGGCTAATGACCTCCAAATAGTGAGCAACTTCTACCAGCCAGGTCCTACATCCTGGAGGTCCCATGGCCCTCCAAGACTCCACCAGTCAGGGGAGCAAGCAATCAACACACAAAACTGTGTGTGGTACAATTCTGATTCAAGCCTTAACATTGATGAACCAGTGAGAATAACTGAGACAATCAGGAGAATCTGCAGAGATTAACAGTAATTCAACACGGAAATGGAGGGTACAGTATTGGGGGGGGGCAGTCACACATACATATTTATTTTTGCTTGTTCTTCTTAATACTCACAAGACAGCAAGGCACAATTAAATCCATTTTAGGAATGGGATAATTCTATCCCACTGGGGCTCCAGGAGGTTAAGGGACACTGGACAGCACACAGAGGTTGACTGGGTGAGGTTAATGAAGCTTTAAACCCATTTAGTCCTTCGCTTGGGCAAGCCCTTGTCTAGGCAGCCAGCATACAGAATTTAACAGTTCAAGTTGATACTCTTTCTCTGAGGCATTCCTTTATGCCTCAGAGTACATGTGGAGGTCAAAGGCCAGGATCAGCTCTCTCCTACCTTGTGGCCCAGGATCCAACTCAGGCTTGGCGTCAAGCACCTTTACCCGCTCAGCCATCTCACCAGCCCTGTGTTCTTTTTGTGAGAGAAGGGACCAGGAACTGTATTAGCCTCGGGTGACGAAGCCACAGACTGTGGCCCTACCCGCATAGCAACACAACGCCAAAACTGAGAGTTCAACTCGGATCATCTGAGGGAGGAGGTTTCTTTCAGCTGTCACTCACATGCTGTGGTACAAGTGAGAGACTTAGCAAACACTAACGGAGGAGTTTAGCGGAGGGTGGAAGGTAAGAGCCCCCGATAACCCCCAGAATTCAAACCAGAGCAGCTCACGGGCAGACCTGGGCTAGATGGCACCGCTAGCCACAGGCCTGGCTACCCCAGTGGCACACAGAGTCGAATGTGGCATGGTCTCCAAGCTGCATCTTTTTCTTTCGTCTTCTAAAAATCCACTGACTGTATAGAACTCACCAGGTAGAATTAGGTAGAAAAGCTGGTGGAAAACGTCTGTACTGAGCAACCATGGGAGTAGATCTACAAATCCGTCCATTCTGAGAAAGAGGGAGGAAGATCTCTGTTCCACACAGACGTCCCCTGGGATGGATGCCCTACGTCCCCCATTCTTTGAGAGAAGAGAGTGTAGCTTACTACTGGGACTTATCTAGACATCTTTGGGCCACCAAAGTCTAGTTCAACCTTCATGTTGAGTTGGTGAAGCCAGCTCCTGATAGAATTAGGTCTCTGGTCTTCAGTGTTTGGCTACCAACCCCGAGAGTCTTACTCTCCATTTCCTGTCCAGCATAAGGCCTGCATGGGAGGTGGGAGAGAAGAGGTGGGGGAAGAGAAAGGGGAGGGTTGGGTGGGAATGACATCAAGCAGGAATGCGCCAGTCAGCGGGGGTGGATTTTCCACTTGGATCTGTGTGGAAACCTGATCCTGCCTCTCTTTTTCGTCTCCTTCTCTAACAACCTTTCACCAGATTGGAATTTTTCTGCACCTGTAACACATTTTTAATGTAATAAGTCTAGGAGAAACCAGGTATTATATCATGCTGGGGCCTGTGTTTCTAGGAGCAAAGGTAGCCCAGACCCCAGTTTATCCCTATAGGGGATTAGTGTATTAGTCACCCTGTAAAAACTAAATTTCTTAAATGTTTCTTTTAGCACTTGCTTATAAAAGGTGAAGAGGGGAGCCATGAGTGTGTCTGTGTTCCCTGCCCCCACCCTCTTCACACATGCACGTACATTCTGTCGATTTCCTACAAACACAAATTCCACAAAATCAAATCCAGAGCTATTGGCCTTTGTCCATTAAGATGACCTTTGCCGTGTCGGACTTTGTCCTGGTTTGGGTCAGGGCAAGTGGTGACCAGACTCATTCTTGTATTAGACACCCCTTGGGAGTGAAAGGAAGCTAGCTATTTAAGGTGAACATGAATAGCTAGTGTGGCTGGGGTATCCCTTTGAAAGTAGGGTGACTGGGTATCATTCCTATTCCATCCCTTCAGCTTTGCGGCCAAAGGGATTCATTCTTCAGCCCTGTGTCTCCTCTTCTGCAGAAGACCCTACCTCACAGGGTTCTGATGGAGATGAGACAAAATAGCATATCAAATAGCATATCGGCATCAGGAGAGTAGCGAACACAGCGAATGGTCACGACTTTTATTACTTCTCCACTTAAGAAAACCCAAGCAATACTGGGCCCCTCTGCCACTGACTAGTCATCCCTTGAGGCATTCTATCGCTTCATCTACCTTTTCATAACAATTAAAAGATACTCTACAAAAACTATACAATTCACAACTGGAAATTCAAAACAGGTAAATGCTTCAACAAAATCTTAGCCCGTAACTAATTTACTAATCCCTGGGACCCCAAGGAAACGCCGACATCCAACTCTTTAAATTCCTGACCCTCTTAAGGCCCACGCCATTCAAATTGGCCTCTCTCATGTATCTGGGAGAGAAAAACCCTCCTGTTTGCTTGGGAAGTAAAAGAAGTGTCATGGACAAGTTAGAGTCCTGCTGAGCAAACTGACTGGCAGTAAGGGTATTTCCAACGAGAAGGCTGCCCTTGGATAATGCTCATTCTAACTTTGACCTTCAGGGTCACTCCAGGGACTGGTCACCTTGAGTGTAAAGTTGTCTAAGAACATTAATTTTATGCATGTGTGTACTATATATTCAAAGCTGCCAGCTCTATGTTATCATTGGGTTCTCATGAAAAACCAGTGAGGTTAAATAATTCTGTGTCCAGGCCATATATGAAGATACATATTTCAAGGAAATAACCCATCAATCTCACATTACCCCAAAATGAGAGAGAGAGAGAGAGAGAGAGAGAGAGAGAGAGAGAGAGAGAGAGAGAGAGAGAGACCCACACCCACTACCTCGCCAGGAGCCCTTCCATTCTACTTCACAGGCTGTCCTAAGGAAACTTGACCACTTTGCTTTCTGCTTCCTTTCTTTAGGCATTGCTTGTCACCATTAGATGCCCAGTACATAGACCCTTTTCTGCTGTCTTACCTGTACATTCCTCCTACCCCCTCCCACAGCATCTAACACAGTTATCAAGAAGGACTCACAATTGTCAGTGGACAAGAACTAACTGGGATAGAAGAAGTAAGAAACAACTGAGTTCACCCATGTGGATAAAAGCACCACCCATAAGCACTGAAGGATAGAAAAAACCTCCAATAGCTACTAAACGGGTGAACAAAACAGAGTGTAGCCATGTAGTGGAAAATTATTCAGCCATATAAGTGAGTGAAGTATGACCTTGTTACAGCTTAGATGAGCCTTGAGAACATCACACTAAGCAAAAGAAGCCAAGCAGAAAATATCAGACATTATGTGACTCCATTCACCCACTATAGCTATAATAAGCAAGATCAATGAGACAGAATGCCTGGGGTCAAGGGGAAGAAAGACTGGAGAAGGGTGGATAATGAACGTGAGGCTTCTCTCTAGAGTAATTGAAAAGGTCTGGACGTTAGTGCTGACATTACAAACCTTGTCAGTATGCTAAACACCAGAGTCCAATGCTTTATGAAGATGAAATGTATGAGTTCCTCCTCATTTTAAAAGAAATGGTGGAAGTACCAGAGACCCCGCGGATCTATAGTCATTCTTCCATAGAAAGAGGGCAGACCACATTATCAAAACTTGGAAAAAAGAAGTTGGAAATGCAAAGTTTAGAGTAAGATTTCCCTATTTTTTAAAGAGCCATAAAACAATTCAGAAAATTGAAATACTTTCTGGTCTAATTAGTCCTGGACCCACAACGACCACCAGCCACTCCTCTGTGACCCCTGCCCTCCTACAATTGGCTTCGTGCCTTCCCAACAAAATAAAAGTCCTGTACTTCCTGGAAAAGCAGCTGTCTATTGTTCCTTTAGCAGACCCTTAAGAGAACTGACCAGTGAGGACAGGCTGAGTAGAGGATTCTCGGACCCCATACCAGCAAGACTCAGGCCCAGACCTCACCCACATCTGTCCTTCACAGGCATGTTTTTGCAACATCAACTAGGTGCCAGGCTCTCTAAGGTGCTACAGGAAAATCAAATGAGTAAGTCAAGGCCCTTGCTCTCAAGGAGTTCAGTCAAGGGAGGGAGACAGACTTGTAAACAAATCAAGGTAATAGAAGGCAGAGTTAGAGCAGCCTGATAGCAGCACAAACAGTGTACTATGGGAGCACACACAAAGCAGCTATTAATCCTGCCTGGAGACATCAGGGAAGGCATTGCAGAAGAGGTGGCGGTGGGCTGAGCCGTGGGGGGACGACGCTAAGTTTATCAGATGGAGAAAAAAAAGAGGCAGAGAAGGGAAAAAGTGGGGAGCCAAATGAGAACACAAAGCAAAGAGTGAAGCAGCAGCTGGAGGGCAGCTTCAGCCCCCCTCGAGTTCACACGGTCCTAACACAATCTTCATATGGACTTTATTAGGCTGATTAGAAAAAATGGCTCGCAGCTTTCTCCCTCTCCCTGGAATGCAAGTTCCACAAAAGAAAAGATAAGCCTTGCTCATCTCAATGCCATCAGCAACCTAGCATGATCCCTGGCATGGCAGTAGGTGTCCTGTAAAAGAGCTAGACCTGGTGGTACGAGGCCACTGTGGCTGAGGCAGGAGGATCCCAAGTTCAAGACATGTCTGGGTTACAGTAAGTTCAAAGCCAGCCTGAGCAAGTTACTGGGAACCTATTTAGAAACCAAAGTAAAAGAGAAGGCTGAGGATACAGTTCGGTGGCAGAGGACTTCCTTCGCATGCCCCAGCCTGAGATGCCATCCTCAGCACCGCATGAACAGAGACCAGGAGTCAGCAATGAAGACGGTGCTGGGGAGGGAAAGGCGGGTCCTCGCGTCTAGGACAGTAGTGATGGAAAGCAGAGCCTGGAAATGCAGGTTAGAGGTTAAGTCAGGTGAGAGGCGTTCAGTTTGGTCTGAGAGGTCTTTCTAGTACTTTAGATTATGTGAATGAGACAGCTTTCTCTTCCCATTCATTTTTCAGGCTCCAAAAACATTCTGACTAATAAAGGATAAATGACTATGTAAAGACACAAAAATACATAGTAAGTGCTCAGTAACATTCTTTTTAAAAATTGAATGAAAGAGTGAATTACTCCATCCCAAAGTGGTGTTGGTTTTTACGTAACCACAGTATGTTCCTAACTGACATTCTACTTGTGGTCAGCTCTGACCCCCACATGTTTTTCTCTAACACCCTTACTCATCCTATATTTGTACCCTTGGGTTTGAGTCTTTACAAGCACATTTTCTTATTACATTTCAGCCCTAATTATGATAGGCTTACTTTTCCAATGTACTGGGTCATTCATCGCTTTATTGCTATTTTCCAGAAAATCCAAACCACACCAAATTTTGGACCCACAAATTTGATACACACATTCTTGATTTTCTTTGTCCAGAATGTCAATAAATGAGCTGAAAATACTGGCCCTTGGGACCAGTCCCTACTGGGTTATCACTCAATCTGTCGACTATTCCCATACCATCTTCATTATCCACAAATATTCAACCCAGTTATTGTGCTTGTTAAAGCAATGTGGTCAAGATTCTGCTTTTTCCCGTTATCTAGGGAAACAGATTACATTGGAGTTCTCACCCTGCTCTGTGGATCTCTATTTTGTTGCTATTAGATATGAAAACTGTCTCTATACTGACTCCTCTTCAGTGCCACAGGATTACCTAGCTAGCTGCAAATTGATTGTGTGATGGTGCTTTCTCATTTCCCCCCAAAGATCAATAATTTGAAGGTCTTTAATTACCAGAGACATCCTGTGTTCTCCCCGCTTCTGTTGCCAAGACAGGCGTATCTGTCCTTTCCTAGTCTTTAGGGACTTTTGCAATTCTCCATGAGGTCTGAAAGATAATGACCTGTGGGTCTACAGCCACATCTGCTTGTAGCTCTAGGGTATACATCATCACACTCTGCTGATCTGAATACTTCATTTTCCCTTCTCACATTAACCATTTATCACCCTTCAGTATTGTTAATTTCCCAAAATACTAACCTTGACCAGACATCTTCTAGTCAACTATGATCTGTTAGGAAGAGACATGGGAAAAACTTCTAAGTTCAGACTCACCCTCAATAGTGATCTTTCTTGATCATAAGATGGTTTTTCTATTTTGTTTTTTTCCAAATGCCTTTTGAAAGTTATTTTAGACTTTGTCTTTCTGAACATCCTGATGTGCTTACCGCTCCTATCTTAGCTTGTCTCTCTTCTGTTATTCTGTCTTAGCGATCTTACCTCCACATTGTATACTAATTTACACACAAATATTCCCGGCACAAAGCCAAAAAAAAAAAAAACAGCCTTATCATTGATTTCATTGTATAGTTGAAGAAGAAAACAAAGGGGCCGGGTATAAATCAGCGGCAGAGCACCCTAGTATGTTTAACTACTGGTGGTGCAAAAAGAAAAACAGAAAAGGAGAAATGTCTACGCCAAGTTCACCTAGTGCTCCACTGCCCTATTACAACACTGAAGTCGGCCCAGTGTATGGTCTATTCACTCACCTGTCTTTCTCGGCCTCCATGAAGGAAGCATCACAGCACGTTAACCTGAGGCCCAAGGGTTCCCTTTAGTGCCGAGCACCTGAAAGGTACTGAGCACGTGCTCGGAGGTACTCGGCGTGTGTGGGGGACAGGAGAGAGGATGCGGTGCAGGGTACAGTGCAGGCAGTGGACTCTACAGAGGAGGACTCATTCCTTCAGAGAGTATCTGTCCAGGCAGCCTCATTCCTTCCTCTTCCATCAAGGTTTCTGTACAGGTTCAGGTGTCTGTTTTAGTTTTAATTCTTGTCTTCCCTACTTTTAGTAGTAAAATTTGGTTCCCTGTATTTTATTCATCTAAAAATTTAATTCATCTTTCTTAACATTGTTTGAATTGGAAAGTCATAATTACAACTATTAACTGAGTACTAGGTGATGTTTTTATATATGTATACAATGTAAAAATAGTTAAATCAGGCTAATTAGCATATCTGTCCTCTTATTTGCTTATCATTTTTTGTGGTGATACATTTTAAATTTACTCTTAATTATTCCATCCTTTCTGAAAGCTAGGTTAAATGCAGCCTCAGAAACCTCCCTCTATAATCAGTGACCTGACATAACTTCCTGTCTTTTTGTCCTAAACTCTACTGTCCAAAGACTTAAATCGTTAGTGGAAAAGTCTACTAACACAGGGAGTGGGGGAGGGGGAATATCAGTTGTCAGTTATCTGAGTTTCTGCAGCTACACAGAAAGGTGAAAGTCATAACCCACAACATTTACTGAGAACTGATTACAGTAAACAAAAATCCCATTCAACCATATAATTGTGCTTAACTTGGCATACCCTACCATACCAACGACTTCATTCAGCCTTGGAAGTCTGTGGGACATTTGATATAACATAATACAAATTCAATGCAAAATCATTCAGACAATGTTTTAATCTTGTAAAAGATAAAAATAAAGTAAGTTTTTGAAGCTGATTAATAAGGAGACTCAATCAACTTTGCAAAGTCATTGACAATTGAGAATGGTAGGACAGTGAATGATTGAAGGGCATAAAATAAACAAGATCTCCATAAGGACATTATTTGCATGTCAACATTGTAAAGGTCTTTGGAAATGAATACAAAGACTTCAAATACTTTATAAAACTTGGTTTCTTCATAATGTCACTGAGAAAGTCAAACATGAAAAGTGTCATCAGCTACCCTATGGTGGGGTCTAAAATGCTGGTCCAAAGGAACCAATGCTCCACTCATTCTTTCTTCACTCTTGGAATTAATGTGTGTAGCTGAAAGTTTTCCTGTGTCCCAGCCTGCCGGCAGTTGGGACAAATCTCTCCCACTTGCATTCCCCAAGTAAACACACAGAGGCTTAATTATAACTGCGTGGCCATGGCTCAAGCTTTTAGCTAGCTAGCTCTATATCTTAAATTAACCCATTTCTATTAATCTATGTTTTGCCACATGTTCCGTGGCTTTACTTGTCTGTTGGTATGTTGTTTCTCCTTCAGTGGCAGCTGGCATCTCTCCCTGCCTTCTTCTAGCTCTTATATCTTAAATTAGCCCATAACTATTAATCTATGTATTGCCACATGTTCCCGTGGCTTTACCTGCATCCCATTACATGTTGCTCCTTGGGCGGCTTGCTGGCGTCCCTCCCCTCCTTCTTCCTGTCTTTGAATTTCCCACCTGCCTCTAAGCTGCCTTGCCATATGCCAAACAGCTTTATTTATCAACCAATCAGAGCAATACATATTTGCAACAAAAAGACATTCCCCCATCAAATGTGTAACTACAAATGCAACCTAGCTCTTAATGGTTGAAAAAATTAAATGAACCACTTGGTGCTCTTTTTTTCTTTTCATATTTGAGATAAAGAATCAAACATTTGTTTTTTTATTACTTACTATGTGGATTGTATTTTAAATGGTTTTCTTTAAAGTAGACTTTTCTACCTTACTTATCCTGAAATTAAGAATGATGTGTTTTGTCAGCATTTACACCACCAAATGTTTGTTTCCCCACAGCTAAACTGTAAGTCCTCCAAGGACAGATACTGCGAATTCTCTTTATTATCTGCCTCACCCAGCAGCAGCCTATTCCCTATCATAACCCAAACACGTACCCTTGGCACAGAAATCTGAGAAAGAGAAACATTCAAAACATATATTAAAGACTGATTACCTGACTTGGAGATGGAATTTTCCTGCAGATAAAACTAGCTGTAACCTTAATACCTCCCCACTACTCATGGTGGTACCTGAGGTTTCTTACCTCATCAGTTGCGGCTCCTTTCATACATAACGGGGCCAACTTGAAGAACAGGTTTTGAGAGAGCCTTGTGAGATGACCATTTGGTTTCATTTTGTCTCACCTTGCCCTACAGGATATCCTCTCCTATCACAAAAGGAGTCATCAGCGTCTCTCTCCTGGACTGTATCTAGGTTACCTAAAGCTATGTAGCTCTGTGGATCAGATCAAAGTGCTCGTAACCCAAAAGTTGCCCAACATTCTCTGCCATGTGAAGATCCGTGAAAACAGTAACATCTCCAAGTAAGTGGTCCCAAGTTGGGATTTTCCTTGGTCTGATGTATCCAAAGGAAAGTCAAGTGCTAGCTACCAGCATAGTATCTCTGGTGAGATGTTCCACAGCATGATGGAGTCCTGGCATCTAGGAGGAGCAAAGCCATTAAAGGGAGGCCCTGCACCTTCACTGTCCCTTCTGCTTCGCTCAGGTACAACCAGTGATGCCCTACTGGCTTGTGAACGAAGACTTACCTTTGCACACTGTTCCCACTATCCTTTTCACCATTGGAAATGTGCCCTTTGTGCTTTTTGTTTTTGATATCACCGATGAGAATGGCCTCATCAGTGGAGCTACTGCCTCTTGCTGACCTAATGGCCCCGCCCACTTTCACTCTACCCTCTCCTAACTCTCTGGCTTTCGGACTTTATATGTGTTCTACGTGTCTGACAATTCTCTAGGGAAGGAAAAAAGTAACAAGGCCCAAACTTCCAGAAACTTCCTCTATGGTTTGGCATTTGGTGACTGACTTTGTTAGTTTTGGGAAAGTTGCCTGGTCTTGGTACTCTGGCTCAACTTTATCACCAACCCTGATGGCAGGCCTCTCATTCATCAACTATAATGAACTGAATTGTGTTCAACATAAAAATGAAGGAAAAGAAGGTACACATAATAAAGAAAAAAGCCTCCGGATTTCTTTAGGCTTCATAGAATGCAAACTAGATTCTCAAATTCTTTACAAGTGTGGATTTGCTTAACAAAAACCAATATGGCCCTTTGAACTTTGGTCTCTACCATGACAAGACTTTGGTAACTACACTGTCTCACAGGTTTACCGAAGCACTCCCAATGGCAATGGAGAAGGTGATGACAGTGCAATAGATGTGGTAGTCTTTGGGAACTCTCTGCCCACCTTTTCCCCGTCTTTCACTTATCAATTGCACCTGGACTTTAAGTCCGCCCTCTGGTGGTCATTTCAACAATCAACATCTGCTATCTTCAGAGTCTTGGTCCAGAAGACAGCGAGGCTCCTTTATGAGTTGACTGGGCAATGGTCATTTTCATCTGTTTCTCGATTTTGTGTCATAAAATCTTAGTCACCATCTTTTAGTAATTATTTCAACAGATTTTCCCTTTCCAAGGATCCAGATTCCCTCGTACAAAAGACTGCACCAGCCTTCATTCTGAAAGTTCCATCCATCTCCCCATCTTCAGAGCCCACACTGACTCCTTAGTGGCAATGTGGTTCTTACTGGTGACTTTCTAATTTGGTTCCAGACTCTGTTTTAGCAATGTTGTCCTTTGGTGTCTGTGCATATTGTGCTAATCATAAACCTCTCATTTAGTTATGTATCAGTGGTGGGAAAAGGGAAATCATTCCCAAGTAGGCTCTCAAGGACTTCGATTGGCTGTAAGCTAAAAGTATGCCCAAATTGCAATAGGACTTAAGTTTGATTTTTTTTCTCTCTTTCTTATTGGAACAAATGATAGATTTTTCCACAGTCTTGTCCAGTATGAGGCTTGAAATAAAACAGATCTCTTAAAAACAGAAACTTTTCTAAGAGGGTAGTTAAAGAGAGAGCCCGGGGTTGGTTGATTGACTTGTTTGTTTCTCTTGTTTTTCTGCCTTTTTTTTTTTTTTTTTTTTTATGAACCTCCTCCAGCACAGTCAGTTTGGTTTTCTGAGTCAGAGACTGGAGCCCAGGCTGTGATGACCCTTTGGTGAGAGCCTTCCACCATGAAGAGGAGGCTTTCCTTCACTGCCTCGCCTGCTCCCCACAGAGCTAGAAGGAGAAACTGGTCTAACAGAAAGTGTTTGGAGACTTGGGCAAAATACCTGTGGAAACAATGTTGCCCAAGAGGCTTTTACCTTGATCTTTTCAAGCCCCTTTTGGAGAGTGGCTTTGGGGGGACCAGCCAGATGTTCCTTCCTCCCACCACCCTTCTTTCCCTTCCCTTCTGCTTGACAGTTGGAAAAGTTCATTAGGAAGAACTATAGAGCGTGCAGAATGAAGACACACATGACTGGTTTAGGAGGAGGAGGAGGAGGAGAAGGAAGCAGTGATGTGTGTCCCCTGATTCCTTTTATTGGAATTGTCTGGTGTTCCTGTTTGTGATTCTCCTCAAGCTTTTGGAAAGGGAACGAAACCAAAATAGTCCCCATGATTACAACAGGCCAGGGCTGCAATGTGCCGTGTGGTTTGTTGCCTGAGTTGGAGCAGAGTCCTGTGGTTAGCCAACTGTGGAATTAACCAGTAGATGCCCCTGTGGTAAAATGGAGGCTCTTAGAACCTACAGAGACAGGAAAACAAGGAGAGTCGGGAAGTGATTACAAACACCTGAAACACTTCAGTTTCAAGCGCCGATTCATACAGGCCAGCCCTATTATTCAGACATCCAGGGGCTCTGATAGGTGGACGAGGCTGAAATCAGAAATAGCCCATTTGAACTCCAGTTAGGTAGCAAAAGGTTCAAGTTCCATAAATAGCATTGTGTTTTAACCACCAAGAACTGGTTGTTTGGGCTCTGGACACCGAGAAAGTTCTGAGCTGTGTTCTGAACTTCTCTTATATTTCTAATTTTAACTTGATTCAACATACAGAGAGGAGTGGGAGTGGGTCCAGAAGCTGTCTGGCTCCGACTCTATGGAAAGAGCGGATCATAACGCTGACTGCCCCGTGCCATTGTTCTTCTACGAGCTCCAGACGGCAGTGAAGGCTCTCCTGAAGCAGATCCACGTACCTCTGCACCAGGTACAAGGCTTTGCCGTTCCTCTCTGCTTTTTATGGCTCATGGAAACTGGGTCGTGTCATAAAACTTACTCAAGAGGCATATATATGCACGTATGTTTATTGTCGCTTTTTAAATGCCACTCTGCCTAGGCACGCATGTTTTGAATTTAATGCCTACAACTAGACCCAGGCTGTGCTCTGGCTCCTTTTCTCTTGTTCCTTCATATCAACCTCTTCCAGTTTCCAGAACCCACTCACTATACTGTACCCTGACCAAGCAAGAAAATGCCCTCTAGCCTACCCTGAAAGATACCAAGATTCTGTTGTAGGACAGCACGAAGCACAAGAATATACTCACCCATTAATGAAAAACAGTATAGTTAGATACACAAATTATTTAAGAGCAAAAGACTAGCCATGGGATTTAGAACAATGGCCAAGTGATTCCATGTTGTCTGTTATTAACAAAATCACCGTCTAAGTCAAAATATGCACAACTATCCTCTAGAAGTCAGAACTTGAAGGGAAACTGTTGGCATATGAAGAGTAAAAATGTGTTTGTTAGGTTCTGTCTCATAGTTTAACACAAGCTAGCAACATGCCGAACTCAGGGGGCGGGGCCGTCTGCTGTTTGTTTGGCCTTTGTTCACGCCCCTGCCCCTTTCTCTGCCACATGAACAGAGATCCCAAGAGAACCAAGTGTATCCTGCATTAGGAAGATCCTTACCGTGAGGGCCTGTTCTCTTTTAATAAGAGAAAGAGGAACAGATTGGCCACACAAAGGCGGGGAGAAGTCAGAAATTCCAGAAGTGTCCTTAGTCTGTTCTTCACAGCCAGTCCAAACACCGGCCAACCCTGATGGAGACTAAATCACAAGAGATGCTAAAGACACTGGGGGAGCCCCTGGATTATCCAAGGGGTGACCCTGTGCTCACAGGGAGAAAAATAAGAACCCAGCAGCTCTCCCTGTGACAGTAGGTACTATTAAAGGGTTTCTTGGACCTAGCAGGTTTGAAGCAGCTCGTATTTCATTGGTAACTCCAGCTACACATACATGTTGGGAGAAGGCTGCTTAACTGCATAACAGTGCATACAACATTTTTTTTATACTTGTAAATTTTTCTCAGTCCTTGGCCAGAAACTACATTTTTCCCCCTTAACCGACTTAAATTGAAACTAGTGGATTTTTAATTCAATCCATTTTTGTTGCTTCATGTAATTATATTCATCATTTTGAAAAGCCCACAGAATGCAATCATTTTCTGCTTTTATAAGAAGCATAAATGTTGTTTTCAGAGTTTATGTGGAACATTACTGCCTTAAATCTTGATTTTATATAGCATTATTAAATGGGCTGAACCCTAATATTTATGTTGTATAAAAATTCCAGGCTTGAAGTTGTGTAATTTTGTGAGATGTTTTATGCCGGTTTGGTGTTGTTTATGTAAGTACCGTGTTGTAACTCTCCTATTTTTCCTCCGCGCGTGTCCCTCTGCAGGCACGGAACTTCCGCCTCTACACACAGGAGGTGTTGGAAATGGGTCACAATGTGTCCTTTCTTCTCCTGCTCCCTGCCTCAGACGACGTCTGTACAGCCCCAGGACAGAATAATCCTTACACCCCACACTCAGGGTTTCTTAACCTCCCTCTTCAGATGTTTGAACTCGGTATAGTGGCTTGTTTCACCTAGAAATATTAACCCAGCCTCCTTAGAATAAAATCACAAAGTGGTATCTGTTCCCCCTTGTCCCAGTGGAGGGTCAGTAAATCACATGATGGCTTTGGCAACAACCCCTCCTAGGACTGTGTACAAGTGTGAGCAAAAGCAAGGCGGCAGGACTAGCCTGAGCAGTGTCTACTGAAACCTAGCGAGGGCCCAGTGGAGAGGAAGGAATTCCAAACTGAAAGTTCAGTCATCAGGCTTACTTACTGCCTCCTCCCTCCTCACTTCTTAGAACATAAATACAAGAATGATGTGCGCGTGAATATGTGTTCATGCTATGCGCCCGCTCCATCCTCTCATAGCCAACTGGGAAAGAATAGCAATGAAATGAATATGTAGCGTTTATATCACTTTGGAGCAAAAAAAAAAAAAGATCAATAAGTAGTCTTGATTTATTAAATAAACAGATTGATATTAAATAGACTCTAAATAGCCTAGACAATTTGAGAAATGGACAAGATCTCCCAGGATGCAATGCTGTGATCTTAATGTGAGGGATCTGGGTGGTGGCAGATCTTGTCCTTGCTTTCAAAATGAATAGCCTGGCTCCAGTTTCTGCAGAGACCCCTGCTGCCCACTGAGAATGTGAACAGGGAGGCTTTGTCTCCTTTCCGGTGCTTCATCTTGTAACAGACCAATAAGAGGCAATTAGCAAGGGTTCCCTCAATTCAAATAAATTGCGCAATTTGGGGGAGGCTGAGTGAGTGGGTGGGTAGAATGAGGCAAACCCGTTTTTGACTGCTCCCAAGCCACCAGATTCAGAAACACACAGGGTGATTGCCTAAAACTTCATTTTGAGATCTGGGCATCTGAAAGAGATTGACCTCTTTTGGATATATTGTTTAAGCCGCTTAGTTGCCCTTGCTCCAAGCAGTTAAGACATCCAAGAGAGTGATGACTGGTCACTGGTGTTTCCCAAAGGTGGGAGACTTCCTAAGAGAAGCTGGAAGCAGATTTGCAGATGGAGATTTGACAGGCCTGGGTCCCCTACTATATGACACTGGTACTCATTTAACCTTACCACGCCTTTGCTACGTCACGTGATTAATAACAGTGACCGTACCACTCCCCAAAGCCCTCGCTCCGTGTGACCATTTAGTTCATTCCCTAGCCAGAAAACATCACCAGTGCGTATCCTGCAGCACTGATGTGATGAGTTCCTGTCTGGGAGCCACACAGATGTCTAGTCAATGAACAGCTCTTGGGCCAATGTAGAGACTAAGCGGTAAAGACAGCACAGACACTACACTCGAAGGACTCGGTATGTTGGTAGAAGTAAACTGAGAGTGCCAATTATCACCAAATGAGCCATAATATGCCAGAAATCACAGGTAGTCTATAGCTGAAATGATAGCACACGTGTGCTTCATTGAGCCAGTTTTCCCAGAGAGTAGCAGAAACCCTTCATGAAGGAGGGCACATTTGATGCAGTTGTTTAAGCATGGGCAGGTTAATAAACCTAGATTAACAAGAAAAGCTTTCCTGTCCTGGGGAGAAGAGCTAGTGAGGACATGGGAATGTAGTGGGAAGAATCCCAGAAAGAACAAGAGGCCCGGTTTGGTTAAATCAGAGAACTGTGGGCATGGAGAGGCCATGCGGCTGAACAGGAGGGTCCGTGCTGACTTGTCAGAGTCAGGAGGAGAGACGTAATGTGGATGGAAAGCAAGGGCCAAAACCTTCAGAGCTAGGTTTGAGAGTCCCAGGGGTAGGATGAGAGCTTGTGGGAAAAGGAGAAAGATGTAAGTGTGAGAAACTGAGTGGAAACGAGAGCAAGCAACTGCTAACACGAGAAAGGAGACATCCAGAGATGACTCAAGTCCCCCCCAGGGGTTGTGGGGATAATGCTGCCTCTACCAGAACTATGAGAGACCGAAAGCATGGTTTGGGTGCTTTTAGCTTTAAATAATATTGAATCTGAAGGCGCTAAATCAACATCAAAGTGAACATATCACATTGGCAGCAGAAATGCAAGAGAGCAAGCCAGATCCTAAACAGGGAAACTTCGGGAGTGTCTACAAGTAGCTGCTAAAACCAAAAGCACACAAATGCTTCCCACAGGACAAATAAAGAGAAAAGATAGAAGGAGAACACTTTATTGTGGAGCTAGCGAGTATTTCATTCTGTATAAGGTGAATCACGCCTTTCCCCTCATTATAAGGGTGTGTGTGTGTGTGTGTGTGTGTGTGTGAGAGAGAGAGAGAGAGAGAGAGAGAGAGAGAGAGAGAGAAATTCGTGTCTCCATGTCTCAGTGACACTGGGGGAACAATGAGTGACTTGGGATAATTATAATAGGGTATGTCCCCTAGGACCTGGTGGGTCACAAACATTTGAAAGTGTCCCATCAGTCCTGGGGATGTCACACTCTTCTTGGACAGCTACCTCTGTCTTGCTGCTCACCATCCCTCTCCACACGGCGACTGTTGAAGCCTCCTCACACACATGTTCCTCTCCTCGTTCATTTGTTCACCCACCGACAAATAACACCATGTGCCAGGCATGGCTAAGAGGCCCCGCAAACCCTTCAGCTCCTCAGAGAGTGCCCATCCTAGTTTGAGGGGACAGACGATAAAGCAATGAACAGAGGACACATGCCTCAGAGATACAAGGGCTCTGGAGAAAAGCCAATCATGGAAAGGGACTAGAGTGATGTGGCAGGGTTGCGACCCTCTAGAGGATGACCTGGGAAGGCCTCTGTGATGAAGTCACATTTGAGCAGAGACCTGACATTTCCAGACAACAGGAAGAGCAAGTGGAGAGGGCTGCAAGTAACAGTGTACGTGGACAAGAGAGCGGCGTCCATAGTGTGAAATAGTCAAGAACAAAGGTCGCAGTGGGAGAAGCCAGATCCTTCAGCACACAGAGACTCTGACAGGGAACTTAGATATAAACCCAGTGGATGCTTTTAAGCAGTATAGCGTTAAAAGCTCTACAAAACGCAATAGAAGCATCCCCCCCCCACTCCCCACCCCTCATCCCACCCTCACTCCAAGAAAGAAAGCTTGACTTTGTTTAACCCAGAATTTTCCAAATTCATCTGACCAGAACTGGAAACATTTTTGGCATGGCATCTATTAAAAAAATCCACAAAACACATACTTAGGGATACAATGCCCTAGAATAATGTTCCTCAAAGTTTAATGTTCATAAGAATCACCTGGAGAGCTTGTTAAACTATAGATTCCTGGAGCCCAGCCCCAGTGATGCTGAGTCAGTAGGCTGAGAAGGAGCTGAAAAAGATGTACATTTCTAATAAGCTCTCGGGTAATAGTGACGCCACAAATCCATAGTTTAAGTGGTTCTGCCTAGGACTCAGAGATAAATACATAAATACAGACTTAGAAATGTAGTCAGCAGAGTAATCTAGTAGAACCCAACTGTGTCTGCCTCTTTGAACTGTCTTACCTATTTGTATTGCTAAAAGCAACTGTAAGACCATACACACTAGCCTTCATCTATGAAAAATAGGCCATAGATCAAAGCCTGTGTCTCACAGATCCTGGCTTTAAATGTTTTTTACTATAATAACAAACTCTGGTACTCCTTTGGCCCTCCCTCATTGCTGTATCATGAGTTATCTAACTGATTAATGGCCACCATGTACGTTTCCAGAAAAGACCACTTGGTTGGCCTTGGTTCCATTGACACATCCAATTCTATTACTGTTTTTTTTAAGACCATGGATAAGTGTTGCCAGTAAGTAGAAACTGATACACTCTCTAGTTCAATGTTGGTTGTACCAGAAACAATTCTTAAAATATTACATGCTCTTAGAATCATGACAAGCTCCACCTTACCCTTAAACAATCAGCGTTTTCCAAGAGGCAGACCTTCTTTTCCTCCACTAGACTAGCCCACTGAAAAATTAATAAAAGCTTCTATAGGAACTCTTAAGCCTTGCTATATTAGACCCATACCCCTCTGAGGAAGATGCTAAAAAAGTTAACTAGGGCCTTCGACTCTAGGTCATTCCATATTAAGTGGTAGAGATACCATCTAAGCATTTCTGAGAAAGAAAAGAATGTTTTTGGAAATTCAATCAGAACTAGAAAAGAAACTTTAATAACAACAAGGGAATTCTAATGAAACTTGAAAAGGTGTGAATTATGGGAATATGTAAATTATAATAAAGAAGTGCATTATATTTCTATTTGACTTGTATAAGTCATCATCCTCTACCTAATGGAAGGATTTGAGCTTTGGCAACCCAGCCATGTTCCCACTAGTGACCTTAAGTGGATCATAAATAACTTGCTGACCAGCAATGGAAATCTCCGTCTGTGCCTAGTCCAGCACCAAACAGATGTGGCGAGGGCAAAATGATAAAGACTGGCCTCCTGTCTCCAGGAGTAAAGACCACTAGGTCACACCCACAGGATAGTGTTTCAGAGGGCTGTTTGTGACACTAAAATAGACTGACAAAGGGAGATGTTGTCAAGCTCTGGACAAGCAGGATTGAACACTTTCACCAAAGACCCATTCCTCTTTCCATGGCTTTAGGGCTGACACTCCATCATCCCTTAGGCAAAAGAAGACTAGGACCCTTGTAAGGCCATAAAGCCCATGTGTGGAAGCCCTTGAGAAATGTGTTCCCAGAAGCAAAGGAAAAGCAACGTCACAAGCTTAGACACACTATTCAGTGACGTGGCTTCTTGAGGCTCTGCCTAGCCTGCACAGAGGAGGTCACCTTGCCCTGACCCCATGGGCAGTCTCAATGAACAGCAAGGCTCCAATGAGAAAAGCTGATTTTTATTGATTTCCTTGGCTCTGTAATTTGTGCTAATTGGACGAAAAGGACAGGATACTGGAGAACTTTTAAAAATTGGCCATACCCTTCTTCATTCAACACACATCTGCTGAGTTTCCACTAGATACCAGATCCTGTGCTGGGTAGCCCTGCAGACTGTCACAGCACACAGCTTCAATACCAGACTCTCAGAATCTAGAGGGGATAGAGGCATTCCCACCAATGGTCCTAATACAGTGAAACCCCTACTATAAGACAGAAGCCACTGAATTTCAGAAAGACATCCAAGTCTTCCTTCAGAGGAATTCAATATTTTCAATGGATCGTGGAAGAGAAGTCAAAATTGAGGAGGTGAAAGGCAAAGGCGAGAAGGGAAGCGATTTTAGTCAGAAGAAATAGCATGAACAAAGGCTGAGCCCATTAGGTCTACCCTGGTAGTGTGATGGATGCTTAGCACCCCTGGGGATGCTGGGAGGTCAGATCATGGCAGTAGCTCCAAGGAGCTGAGACTACATCCTGTGGGCAAGAGAACGGTGAAAAGGTTTTAAGGAAAGGAATGATGTGGACTTACTGGGTTTCAGTAGTTCTGGGAGGGCAGATTGCAGAAAGCAAGGTACTGGAGCTGAGAGCAGAGGTGACGAAACCATAGGAGACTGTTTTGCTGGTCCAAGTGGACAATGGTCAGACCTCAGAACCAGGGCTGGCATGGGGGAAGGTACAGAGGCAGAAGGAGAGGCCAATGGGGATTCAGGAGTTAAAAATCAATGAAACTTTGTGATTGATTTGACACAGCTGAGGGGCAAGATGGAAGAGCCAGAGAGTCTGAAATGGGTCTAAGATGGATAGCACTGCCATCTACCAAGAGGAAATATGAGGGGAGGAAGAAGTTTGGAGGAGGGGAGGATGATGAGTCCAGTTTGACAAATGATGGGTTTTGAGATACCTGTGGGATATCCAGGCAATGAGCTTAATGGAATCCAGACCCAGGCTTTAGGGAAATGGCCCAGCACCAACCTTTATTCCTAATCCCTATTTTTCCTGATTTAAGATACCACTCCTGTATTCCAAGTGTCAGCTCGGGTACTACCAGGACACTGTGGAGCACTTTGGCCTCAGGTGCTTTCTGGCAAAGACTCTAAACTTACCCTAGGAGGTTACCTTATTGATTCTTTGGCCCTTGAAGGAGGAGTTTGAAGAGTTGGGGGTTCTTAGACTATTCTAACCCCCACCTGAACTATTAAGTGTTTCATCCTTCCTGGGAAGTGAAGGGATAGGATAGGGGAATGGGAACAAACTGATTCTAGTATGTCTCATCCACATCTTGTGTATTGTGCATACACTGTGTTTGTTCCTCTTTGGGAACCTTATTTGCCCTGTTTTAGGGATATTACTGAGGTCCCTTGGAGGTCATCTTCCTACCATGTACACTGGTAGCAAGTGGCCCAGCTGCAATCAAAAATCAGATCTGCATGGTATTTAGCCCATGTACTTTCTACTCTACTGTCCTGTGAGTGCTCAAGACTAATTGAACTTTAGCCTCTCTCTCTGTTATATGGGGGGAAATAGAAGAGAAACACCACCAGAGACAATTAGTTTCCGTTTGTGTGTTACTCCCCAATCACGTAGTCTCAATAATGACATTACAATCATTGCCTTATACCAGTTTGTCTGTAAAATGCATGTGATTCACATTTTTTAAAATATTAGAAGCTTCCAGTCTATCCTTCCTTCCTCGGGGATGGCTACCAAATGTATCATTGCTAAACCACAAAAGACTATGTTAAAGTAACATTTGTCAAAGTGACGTTAAAGGCTCTGGAGAGAAACCACTAGGGCAGGAAAAGTGCTACAGCTGAACCATGCACATAACTCACTTGTGGTGCGTGGCATGGATGGCACTGGATGGTGTGGGTATGGGAGACCACCCACTGATCCACAGCTCCTGCCACAAAACACAAGAGAAGACTAAATTCCCTGGCCTTTGAGAGAAAACTGAATATGCCGCCGGGCCTTAAGATTTCAAAGGGACTGATACTGTTTCGTTCAAAGGGATAGATAATTCAGTTTCTTTACACAGTCAACTTTCTTTCACATTTTAGAAATGGAAAAAAGTCGACTTTTGTCATTATTTCCAACTTCATTTGGAAAAGGAGTCTGTGAGACTCTTCACTCTCCAGCCGAAGTAGGGGATCTGTCAAGTGCTACCAGGATGTAGCCCCTCCTGGAAGGGCAGAAAGACCAAGAACCGCAAGGGTCAAAAGTGGTGGCTCCTGCCTCTGAGCTGCCAGGAAATATCACGGTCCTGAAAAAGACCTTTGCAAACAGGAAAATCCAGCACATAGCAACAGAAGTACACCTAGAGAGGAAAACAGGGAATCTTAAGGCCAGGGTCTGCCTTCTTCATCCACTCTGACGTTCCTTTACTCAACCAATAGTAGTTAAGAAGCTTCGGTGTTGGGAGTTTTAAAGAAATAAAAAGCATCCTAATACCAAAGCAGCCAAAGACACACCTACAACAGTGCAGCAGGGTAAGGTCTCATACATTCGGAATCATATCCCCTATGGGCCCAGGAGGAGAAATGAGATCTGCCAGAAGGAAGGAGACACCGTGGAAACTTCACTGAGTAGCTGTTTCTACCAAGTCCTTCAGTACCAAAGGGAGACTAGAAAGGACTGGTAGAGACAGGTATCTAAGGATGGGGAGGGCAATTGTAAAAGTGTGAAAATATAAAAGAGAGTGTATTAAGTTTGGTTTGATCAAAGCTGAGTTAATACAAAGCCAGCTGTATAACGAAAGGTGTAACTAAAGTTTTGTACTCAAACCCTAGACCATAAGAGTTTCCTTATGGGGAACGGTGTTTGGATTTTTATTCTAAAGAGGGATCTCTGTAGAATTTTAAGTATGGGAATCACATGAGAATTCTATTGTTTGGGAGAAGAGTAAGAGCTTTTCCTTTACCAGTAGAATATGAAATCAGTTCTTCTTCGAACCAGGCAAGAATGTTCTAAAGAGTGTGGGAAGGCTAGGAAGAAAGAAGCTGGTAACAGAAAAATGAAGTCCAGGTCTGAGGGTAGAGAAGTGCCTACTGAATGGGACAAGCTGGTGTAAGAGTGGGACTCAGTTAGAGTAGGGCACAGCTGGAGTAGTGCACAGCTGGAGTAGGGCACAGCTGGAGTAGGGCACAGCTGGAGTAGGGCACAGCTGGAGTAGGGCACAGCTGGAGTAAGGATGAAGAACTGAAGCCCTCATGCTAGTCTCTTCTATTCCGTGTGAACAAAGACAATGCAGGTCACCTTTCCAGGGGTCTAAAATTTCTCATAAAAGAATATCAAGCAAGATATCAAGCAGGCTAGGACGTAAGGTACACAGAAATCTCTCACATGCAAAGGAGCAAGATTTCCTCACTAACTAGTGGAGATGAACAGCCACCCCATTCTGAAGCGTGATGGTTTAGCTTCCCCAAATGGCTGGGGTGTAGATACTGGAATCTACAGCAAAGGGGGTCAGAGGTAGTAAACTGGACAATATTATTAAAATTTCTCACCCAAGAAGATACAGCAAAAATAAAGTCTCCCAATCTAATGATGGACCAGGAAGACATTATAAGAGCACTGCCCTGCACTGGGATGCTTTCTCACCATATTGGAACACTAGGCTATTATAGTGTGTGGCCAGAGCTGGGCAGAGAGGAGAGAAAACTGCCGTGTGCCTCTCCTGAAAAGAGGCAAGGATGAGCATGCAGCTTAGACTCTTTCCTATGGCCTCTGTCACGTTATATTTTGAGAAAAGAAGGCCAAACCTGCAGACAAAAGGGGTATGGCCAAGAATCTGAACCCACTATCCTTCCAGACTTGCAAAGGGAGTACAGGCAGAAAAGGATTCAAAGCCCAAAGGTCCTGGGGGAAAGATCTAGTTAGACAAAAGACAACCTAAGAAAAGCATGTCTCATATCTTCTAGAAGTAAGCAAGATGCTTAGCAGAAAATTCAAGCTACTACTTCTTTTTGTTTGTTTTTGTTTTCCCTTTAAAGTGATTTTCCCAGTTGGTACATGTGTGTGTGTGTGTGTGTGTGTGTGTGTGTGTGTGTGTGTGTGTGTGTGTGTGTGTGTGTCTAGCCATACACACAATAACGTATATGCAATATGATAACTTCTGAAACTCATATCATTAGGCAATTTTCTTATTATGTAAACATCACATATTATGTTTACACACATTTAGATAGCTATGATGTCACTGGGTGATAGTCTTGTTGGGCCACCACTGCATATGCAGCCATCGATACATCATTGCATGGCACATGACTATATATGAAAAAGGTCCCAAATTTAGGAAAAAGTCCATCTAAACTGCAGCTTGAGCCAACCCACTTCCCCATACCTTACGAGGGATTGGTAAACCTAAAAGGGAATACTGTCTGACTAAAGCCAGACAACTGGCCCCTTAAGAGCACATTTATAATTTATTTATGGCTTAATATTTTCCACTGATAGGGTTAATAAATCATGTTTCCATTCGACTGGTTTTCTCTGCTGTATGAATTTCTCTATTTTGATACGAGATCTTAACATGTTTTATTTTGCTTGTCCTTTTTCCAGTTCATTTTTGCAGCTACAGAGAGAAATTTATTAGTCTGTATTGCCGTCTTTCTGCTGTTGTGGAGCTGGACGCCCTGAACACCCAACAGTCCCTGAGGGAAGCAATCTCAGACAGCGAGGTTGCAGCTGCCAAACAAAGACACCAGCAAGTGTTAGACTTCATTCAGGTAAAGCTGCTGTTCCTTGGATAATGACAGGAGAGGCAGGGAGAGGCAGGGTGAGAACCGAGCAAGAGCAGCTACCAGAGGCCATCAAGGGAACGCACTGTGCCAGCAGCCTGTGGATCTGGCAGAATGGTGCGGCGCAGGAGCGCTGAGTTTTCAAAGGCTTAACAGTGAATGACGGGTAAATCGCACTAGTCCTAAGAACTGTATCAGCCACTGTGGTCAGCAGCAGCTAATGGTCCAAATACTGTGCTTACCCACTAGTTCAATAAGGGGGGAAAAAAAAAACAGTGTAGAATGTCCTCAGTGTCCCAGAGAAAAAGAAAACAAAATGATCTACCAGTTTATAGTTAGATTATTCATGATTTGGACTTCTTTCCTTAATATGTGGTTACCGAGGTGAGAAAATGTATTCCTTGCCTGGTGTGATGCTGTGCAATTGTGATGCCAGCATTTGGGAAGGCTAAAGGAGAAGGATCGAGAGTTCAAGATTAGCCTGGGCACAAAGTGAGTCCCAGACCAGCTTGAGTGGCAAAGTGAAATCATGTCTTTAAAATGTATGTATCTGCATGTGTTTGTGTGTGTGGTGTGTGTGTGTGTGTGTGTGTGTGTGTGTGTGTGTGTGTGTGCGAGAGAGAGAGAGAGAGAGAGAGAGAGAGAGAGAGAGAGAGAAGGAAACTATGAAAACTATGTTCCTTGTCCATGTCTTGCCTAGAACCCTTTATGGTGACACTTCAGGGTTCATGAAGAGGGCACCAACCAGCAGTCTAGAAAATTTAGATCTGGCCTGAAATGGACCCTAAATGCCATATCCAAATCTCATCTTTCTATGAGTTACCAACTCCCAAAGTAGTACAATTGCAATGGCTCCATAGTAACCATCAATATTATATGCCTTCCAGCAATTTGTTAGAAATATTAAATATCCAGGTGTCAAGCACGATATGAGAGATACAAAATTGGAATAGCCATGACCTTAAACTGTTTAAAACTCATGAAAGTAGACAGGAAATGTCTATAAGTATTATTCTTAAAATGTGTTAAGAAGCCAGGCAGTGGTGGCGCACGACTTTAATCCCAGAACTCAGGAGGCAGAAACAGGTGGATCTCTGTGAGTTTGAGGCCAGCCTGGTCTACAGAGTGAGTTCCAGGACAGCCAGGACTACACAGAGAAACCATGTCTGAAATTTTTTTAAAAAAAAATGTGTTAGGAAGCAAGAGAGAAATACCAGAAAAGAAAGGTTTCTGTGTCAACACAAAAAAATAAGCCTTTCCTTTCACTTGTGGGGAGTAGGAAAGATGCCATGGAAGGGCCTGATGGAGTCTGAGCTGAACCTGTGGAACAGACTAGACTGTACAATGTAGAAACGGAACGTTCAGCACCCAAAGAAAAAGTAATAAGCACATAAGGTAGACAGGCAGGAAAACAGGGTTTGGAGAATAAGAAGGTGTTCAAGGTTGCTTGGGGGCATAAATTGAAGGGTGGGTGACTGAACAAGACTGAGACACCAGGCAATAATAAAAACACCAATAAGAACAGATCAGAGAACCATACCAAAGGCCATAATAAGGAATTCACACTTAATTCTGTACCTAAACCTCAGCTTTAGAGAAAGTAAGAATTTCTCACAGCTCTACTAAGACATACTGCCTCTCATGGAACTGCTATAACCACACACTGGTTGTTCACTGTAGGGATGCACTCTGCATGGTCCTACTCACTAAATAATCTGCCCATCTCTCCTGAATTTAAGGAGAGAGCTAAAGCTAGGGAACCAGACTAGACCAGAAGCTTCAGCAACTATCCAAATAAGCAGTAAAAAAGAAATCAATATAAGGAAACGCAAACTTGAGGATCGAGAAGTTAAGTCTCTTGGACTGGGGTAAAGTGCTTACCTGGAAGAATGAGGCCCTGAGAACCCACATAGAAAAGCCAATGAGTGAGACATGCTCTTGGAACCCCAATGCTGGGGACGCTGGGACAGGAGGACCTCTGGTGCTCACTGGCCAGCCTAGCCTTCCTGATGAGCTCTGGAACAAAGAGAGACCCTGCATTGAAAAGCAGAGTGGACAGAGCTCCTGAAGAACAATCCTGAAGTATGTACCCTGACCTCTACACACATCTATGCACGTGTGCACACACATGCACACACACACTCATACACACATATGTATGTGTGCATACAGACACACACACTCCCCATTTCCTAATCATTTGTGAAAAATAGTCATGATAAACTGATCATAGAAGCACACACATTTAATCCCAGCACTCAGGAGACAGAAGCAGGATAATCTCTGTAAATTCAAGGTTCGTCTAGTCTACATAGAGAATTCTAAGCTATCCAGGGCTACATAGCAAGACTCTGTCTCAAAAAAAAAAAGAAGGGGGAGGGGAGATGATAATAATAGTCCTACATACTGACTACACAATAAATTGTATATTCATTCATTAATAAGAAGTACAGGGCCAAGCATGGCGAGACATGTCTATAATTCCAATCCTTAGGAAGTAGACACAGGGGGGATTAATAGTTCAAGGTCCTTAGCTACAATAGTGAGTTCAAGGACAGAACTACATGAGACCAAGTCTCCAAAAACAAACAATAAAAACCATAGAAGTAAAAGTCCTTTGAACTATGAAAATGAGAGGAATGAAGAGTTGGTAGTATTTAGAAAGAAAACCATTACAAGCAGTGGAATTACCCTACTTTCCTCATCTACAAATGAACTGGACTCACAAACCAAAGAAGCAGCTTTTCAGGAAGCTGCTTACTCTCTCCACCTGAGATTTAGAATTTTCAAACATTCACTCCATTTATCATTTCCAGCAAAGAACAGATGATGATGACGGAAAAAGAGTAGAAAAAAGGATACAAGATGAGGAAGACAAGGAACTCTCTCTCTCTCTCTCTCTCTCTCTCTCTCTCTCTCTCTCTCTCTCTCTCTCTCTCT